ACAGTGTCATCACAGCTAGTCAGTCAGTCAAGAACTTTAATATATGGTCCTGAGGAGTTTAAGCCACCAGGGTGCCCACGTGGGACATCCTAGCAGCCGCTACCGTAGGCGACGCCCGAGTCGGGGCGGGAACGTGGTGGCGTTCCGCCAGTTCTTGGGCCCTCTGGACTGCCTTAAGTTGGTTTCGGAGATTGGGGCTCCTGAGTGCCTCCTCCCAGTCGGACTCACTGGTGAGAGGTCCCTGAGGTAACGCGGGACATTGCCAGAGCATGTGCGCGAGTGAACAGTACACTTCTGTGCAATCTGGGCACTGTGAATTTATGTCTGAGTTATAATGGCTGAGTCGGCCCCGTGATGGGTACGATCTCGTTTGTAACATTCTAAAGGCTACTTCTTGCGCGCGTTCTAGTTTTGAATGGGGTAAAGGGTATCGGCTTCTGTTGTGTCGGTAGTGGGAGGTAATTTCATGGAAGGTGAGTAGTGGGTCATTAAACTGCACGTCTGGGCCCAGCTCTTCGGTGGCTGATTGATCGTCACGGCGGGTCAGTTCTCGTGCTCGATCATGAGCCATTTCGTTGAGGTTGGGTTGTTGTGGGTGAACGTCTTTGCCCATGTGGGCAGGGAACCAAGAGAGGTAGTGCGAGCCCGTATATTTCCGTGTTTGTAAAATGCGGGCTGCTTCTGGAGCGATGTTGCCGGTTTCGTAAGCCCGAATGGCGGCGCGAGAGTCTGTGAAGACATTAGTGAGTGAGGGGTCGGTCATCGCTAAAGCTATAGCAACTTGTTCGGCTATGGCGCTTGTTGATAGCCTAACCGAGGCGGCTGAGCGTAGGGCTCCGTCGCCATCTACTACCGCGAGTGCGAAAGAGGAGGAGTTACCGTATTGCGCTGCGTCGACGAATGCGGTAGAGTTGCGATTCGCGGCGGTACGGTTTAGGATCGCGCGACTACAAAAAAGTTTTTAGTCAAATATTGTTGTGAAATCTATGACTTGTACCCCTACATAGCCACAGAAAAAATGAGAGCATTAACCAGGTGTGTTTCAAGTTTTAAGGCCATAGAACGTCAAACTAGCTTATGAGTCTACTTACCACTCAGGCCCGCTAGATTCGTAGAAAGCCGTGAGTCTAAGTATTGACGCGTGTGTACATGTGGACGATGACGATGAAGGGGGATTTAGTGGGCACGAGGTAGTGGGCTTCTAGCTTCACTCGAGACCGAAGAAGACGATCTTGTGGCTTAGCTGTTGAAAACGCGCTGCTTTTGTTGTCCCAAGGTGTACCTGTGTTTTATTCGCGTTGTACCGCAACAGTGGTGGAGGTGCTGGGTAGTTGATGCAGTGTCTGCTCTTGCGGCAGAGACGAAGGGGCCATTGGCACCTGGTGGTACAGTGTCGGCATAGCGGGTGGTGGACGTCGGAGAGCGGCAGCGTAGCTCATAGGACGCTGCTGAGCATCAGGACCAGCCGTAGACAACGCTTGGTGGATTTCGTCGCGTACGACTTCAGCGATTGACGCGATGGGATTTTCAGCAACAGGATTTCGCAACCTCTGCAGTTCTTCGTGAACTATCTCCCTAATCAAGTCTCGCAAGCAGCTCTGACTCTCAGACGTCATGGCGATAGCATTGATTGGAACATTGCTGGAGATGCGGTCATATGGCCTGCAGCGTTGATGAAGAGCCTGCTCGTTAGTCGTAGCCTCCTTAATGAAGTCAACCAGGGTACTTGGAGGGTTACGCAGTAGCCCGGCGAAAAGCTGTTCCTTGACACCGCGCATGTGGTAACTCAACTTTTGACTTCTGTCATGTGCGGGTTAGCTCGATGAAAGAGTCGAGTCATGTCCTCGGCAAACATTGCAATGGTTTCGTTGGGTTTTAGAACCCGTAGCTCCAATAACTGCTGCGCACGGTCCCTTCTATCGACATTGGCGAAGGTGTCGATGAACTTCTGTCGAAAGTCGGGCCAAGCTGACAGATTGCCTTCTCTATTCTCATACCAAGTACGAGCACCGTCGTCAAAGTAGAAATAGACGCGTGAAAGCTTTTCCTGTTCCGACCACTGATTTACCTTGGCACCACGCACGTAGTGGTCAAGCCAGTCTTGAACGTCTTCATGGGCACCGCAACTGAAGCGATCGGGAACGAGGGGTTGAAAGATGGTCATTTGAGATGGGTGCGTCGGAAAGCTGCCTTGGGGCACCTGTTGCGGGCTTGCGTTGGCCATTGGTTGAGGTGTGCGGTGCCTAGCTGGTTCCGGCGAGTGAGTGAGCTCTGGCGCGAGGCCTCGTGACCGTCGACTGGAGCGATGCATCGGAGTTTCTAGAGGTGACAATGTGTGTGGACTCGATGAACCGCTCCCAGCGGGCATGTGGAGCATCATACAGGGTTGCGACCCAAAAGAGAGAGAGGCAAATGACACGTGTCTACATGTGGATGATAACGATGATGGGGGATTTAGTGAGCACGAGGTAGTAAGCCTCTAGCGTCACTCGAGGCTGAAGAAGACGATCTTGTGGCTCAGCTGTTGAGAACACGCTGATTTCGTTGTCCCAAGGTGTACCTGTGTTTTATTTGCGTTGTACCGCGACACTGGTGGAAGTGCTGAGCCACAAGATCGTCTTCTTCGGTTTCGAGTGAAGCTAGAGGCCCACTACCTCGTGCCCACTAAATCCCCCATCATCGTTATCGTCCAGATGTAGACACGCGTCGGTATGAATAAATCTCAGTGAGTTATATTTTTGCAAGTCTGAGTATGAGTAAGTTTGGTTGAGGACAACTTTGATAAGTTTGAGTGAGTCCTAAGCATAAAATATAATTCCCAAGTAACTATGAGTGAGCTCCACTTTTTTTGCTGACCTATAGTCAAGGCAAACATGGTTGAGTGCACCTATCACTATATTTTTTAGTACTACTATTCTTTGCCCTTCCAGACCTGCTCAGTGTGTGTTTGGGAACCTTAAATAACTTTAGTCCTACTTATGTGTAAAGAACCAGCTTTCAGAATGAGAATTTCGAAGTGCTTTGTGCTTCCTCTCACTAAACTAGTATACTTAATGAAAGAAACAAAACATTGCTAAAAAAACTCGAGGACCAGAAGGAATTCCTAACACAGACAGGTGGAAATATCAACTGAATTTTATTTGAAAAAAAGATGAATGCTTTTACATGAAAACTGATATCACCATGACATCGTGAAGCCTTTGATGTCAAAGAAAATATCATTTTTTTTTCCTCTTAATGTCACTGGCGCATAGTTAATGCATAAGCCTCCTGCATCCACAGTGTAAAAAGCTTCGAGAATGTCCCTTACTAATGTATCCCTAGATTGGATGGCAGTTGTAACGTTGCGACCGTTATCCAGTTCTTATTTGAACGGTCACAGCTTGAAATTAGCATAGTAAAAGTTTTAAGACCCTTGCTTATTTAACTGTGCAGCCTCATGCATTTTCAACGATACCACATGAGCGTTGACTGCATGCAGTATGAGTGCCTATTTATGACGTATTGATACTCCTGCCTCTTCAAATTACACTATGATGGCTTAAGGGAATCGGTTAGGAGAAAATGTGAAAAAAAAAGAAAAAAAAAAACATGTTTAGTTTTCTTTGCAATTCGGAAAGGGTGGCCCTTTGTGCATATTTTTCACATTTGTGCTTTTCTTAACCCTGTAATGCCTACTGTATCATATTTGATATTTTGAATGTGATACCTCAATAACACTACTAAAAGCTACTATAGGTGTCACGATAAGTAGCTATTGCAGCTTTGACGTGTTGTGAAGAAGGTGCAGTGACTAGCATATTATACAATATTAATTATTTCCAATTAGTACTACTTAAGTTATTTAAACAAAATTTCATATATTTTTAAAATAAACTGTGCAAGAAGAGTAAAAACAGTCAGTGTTTTCTCGCAATTTTTCTGAAGGCATAACTGTTCCTGGGCATAACAGGATAAAACAGCATTTATTGAAGCGTAAAACCACTTTTTTGGAAAGTAGAAAGTGAAAATGCAGCCTACCTCAAGCTCCTAGTATGCGCTCTGTGTTTATGGCCTATTTTTCTACAAAAAAAAAACTTAATGTACCCCGCTGCGGTAGTCTAGTGGCTAAGGTACTCGGCTGCTGACCAGCAGGTCGTGGGATCAAATCCCGGCTGCGGCGGCTGCATTTCCGATGGAGGCGAAAACGCTGCTGGACCGTGTGGTCATATTTGGGTGCACGTTAAAGAACCCCAGGTGGTCGAAATTTCCAGAGTCCTCCACTACTGCATCTCTCATAATCATATGGTGGTTTTGGGACGTTAAACCCCACATATCAATCAATCAAGTTTAAAAATTATTTCTGATCAAAGAAGTAGCCGTTTTGACAGATAGTTTGCTTTAGCCTGTGGGATGAATCTTTTTGAGGAAACATGTAGTTTTGAAAACTAACTTTTTTTATTGCGAGTTATCATAACGACCCATAAGAAATTATCTAATTTTAATGTGGAATGTCATCATTACTTTTTTTTCTAAATGAGATATTTGAAATCTGTTTGCAGATTTGAAATCTCCATTCAATGGTATGCATGCATGGTAATTTTCATGACAGTAGGATAATAAATAAAAAAACTTTTTTTAAGACCCTCATCCCCATTAACTAGCAGTTTCTTTGGATGCTTTCTTATCAAAATGTGTCCTCAATTTTGCAGCATGCTAGCTTGGGATTGTATGTACTTTCTGGGAAAAAAAAAAGAAGTTGGATAGAGCAACTTTATTGAGCTTGGTTGATTGTACCTTGAGATTTTGTGATACTACGTGTAAGTGCTCGTCATGATGGTTTCTGTTCCTTTGTTGTTTTCCTTTTGGTCATCGAGACATACTACTTGCCTTTATTTATTTAATTTTATGCAGCCTCACTTTGCAATAATTTCATTGGTCTTTGAAGAGCTGAATGACCGTTTTTGGGTGGTGTAGTAAAGTTTGAAAGATGATGTACTTGTCCTCACTCTGCTTTGCAGCTAAACAGGACTGGTCAGAAGCTTTGCGCTGCTTCTTCTTCTGGACCAATTCATTTCAACTTTGCTGCTCAGCCAAGCTCTGTCACCTCCACGAGCAACTTTGTGTACAGATTTGGGACAGCTGGAACATCTTCTTCATGTCTCGTATGATGTATTGCTGGTTTACTTTAGTTGCATGCATACGAAAAAGCAGATTACTTTAGTTGCATGCATATGAGAAAGCAGATAGTTTAAATTATGTTCAGCCACTGTGTGCTACAAATATTGATTTAGTCTTTGCTAATAGACTATACACTGACAATGTAGCAGTTTTTGAAGGCCCAAAATGATTTTTTATGCATTTTAAATGTTCCAGTCAACTAGACAGAAACGTTTGCTTGGTTTATTTCTGGCTTAAATAACCCTATGTGGGGCAGCGGGCCTCATATGTCCCACGTTTTTCTTCATGTTCTAATTTTTGATATCAATACTGCCGAATCGGTTGCTTTCAGACTTTTAGTGCAACAAAATGGATGTTCTAGACAGCGGCTTCGGTAGTTGTTTTGAAGGTATTCACAAGGTAGCAGAACATACAAGTGTTCCAAATTAGCCATTCTGCTTGCACATCCTGTACCCATTTTTCATCATATTTTGGCATGCTCTCCGTCTCATTCAGCATGAGAGGCAAGCTTGACAAATTTATTTCACACCCACGAGTTTCTAAATGTGCTATATAGTGGTTTTATTCACTCATACTAATAGAGTTTCCTAAAAAATTTGTGCAATGCAAAATTGTCAACCATTCAGTGAGATATTTCCAGAAGCAGAGCCAGGCTAACATTGTGTGCAACTGCTTGCAGTGATCCATTTATTATTCTGCTTTTATTTTTATTATGCCCAGTACCCACATCTGCTGCTCGAGTGTTGCTAGCGACTGGATGTTCAGTGGTCACTTAGTTAACTTTTGTTAGTGTTTGTTTGTTGAGAGCTGCTGTTTGTAGGCCCTCTTCATTGTTTGTAAGTCAGCAGTAAGCTCTCAAAAAAATTTTTTTTTAAACGATTCCCTTTCAATAGGCAGTGAAACTCATAATGTCCCACTTTTTTAAATATGCTCATAGAACAGTGGGACACATATGCCCCACTTTTTTCTCAAGAACCCTTAATGATAGAGAGCTCAGATTTTGTACATAATTTAAGAACCTGATACAAAGGACAATGCTGCCCTCACTAGGTGGTTTTTTTTGTTCATAACATATACCCCCATAAAGTGTCCATAACATATACCCCCATAAAGAGGGGAAGACATTTTTAGACATAAGGTGCTTTATTATTTAAGTTAGTGATGACAAAAACCTTGGTGTTTATGTATTTGCATGTCCTCATGTTAAATTTGACCTTAGCTTTTGTTTGCACTATGAAATTAATTTTAAACTAATCATTCATAAATACATCATTTGATTACATTTTTAATTACTGGCTATTTTGAACCTCCCAAATGAAGTGTCACTGGATTCTACAGATATCAAAGAGCATAACAAGGGTAATTTTATGGTTCTAGTTTTCCTAGAACAAAAGTTGTGAAGCTTTAAGTTCTCACTTGAATGACTAAGAAAAAATACTTTTCATATTTCACCTTTTCTATAAATTTATAACGTTCCAAAATAACATTTGCCACCCTATTTCACTTGCTAAACACTAAATGTTCCAGGTAGAAAAAATGGTCAAAATTTAGTGCGCAAAAGCTGAGAAAAGCTTCTTAGAAGTATGTGCAGTTATGAAAAGAAAACAGTTCAACTTCTAGATAGATATGTGGGGTTTAACGTCTGAAAACCACCATTTGATTATGAGAGACACTGTAGTGTAGCAGTTCAACTTCTTCGAGTGAGAGAAATTTTACAACACAGTGCTCTGTGTTAAAGCATGTTGATAAAACAAACCAAAATGGTGCAGTACACTGAAAGTCACTCATGTGCAGTGAAGCCCACTTTTGTTACAGGGAAGAAACTTATTTATCTATAAAATGTTGCCAGTAAGTTTTTGCTTGATTCAGCAGGACACCTTGGGCTAGTTGGTGTGGTCTGTGAAATGGTTTGTGTATGTGCATAGAGTAAGATGAAGCATGAGTGCAGACTCCGTCGCTGTGCAACTCATTCGCTTGGAACTAACCATACGGTGTGGATAGGGGCGTCTAGCTCACTCCCTTGCTCTCTTCCTTTGCTTTTCTTCATCTTTCACATATACTTTCTTATTCCCTTCTGTCCTGAGCTGACTACTCATAACTCGTACCATTATCTGTTGAGGCAGGTGGAAAACATTTGACAGCTGGCTCTCATGAGTGCATGTATGGTGACTGGCAGATGCCAGAGGTGGCCGCAGTGGTGAGTGGTATGCGTGGAGCAGAGGACAAAGTGGGTAGGCAAACAACGTGCCAAAACGCCACTGTGCGCCATTGCTATGGCAGCAACAAAGAAAACTCAAGGGCATGGCTCTGCTCGTGGACCGGTGTCTTTCCTTCTCAGTTTTCCTTCATTCATAGCACCCTCTGGTAAAGATGTTGTGAAGCAAGATCAGGCGTTGCAGAATGTGTCTTTTCTAGATAAGCGGAGTCGGGTTGCTTCTATCTGATCCTAGTGCATATGCACAAACATTTCTCCTGTGCTGTACTCTCTAAAACATTAACTCAATTGGTGGTTGGTGCTTCATGTGCTGTGCTTTTGTATGTCATTATTTTCACCCAGAAATGGTATTCCGCTTGGTCTCGCTGCGATGAACATAATTATTAGCAAGGAAAACAGTATTTTTTGGCGATTTTTTTTTTATACTCTTGTCAGAATCGAGCACGCCCTTCTCTTTGGCGCCTTGTTTCCCAGCTAGCACGAATGCTGGCCTCGTGTGGCCTGATCTTGAGGAAACGCTGTTGATCAGGAAAACTCACATCTCTTCCTGGTCCCCTTGTAGGGTAAGCTTCATGAAAGCCTATATCCTGCTCTAGAGGGTAAAAATTAATCTTAACTATCTACTCTGCTAGGTGTCGCAGTGCCTGTATAGTTTTGACAGGCTAAACTGGAGTAGATAAATCAGTTTTGCAAGGTAAGGAAACGATTTATATTATTTCTCTAGCCAAATTTTTATGTTCTTGCATACAATTCTTTCTTTTACAGGTAAGCCCAAGGGTTCACAGGACATCTCAAAGCAGGGGAGGAAGTGCTGTAAATGGTGAGTAGCCTATGAAACAAAATGTCAGTAGACTAATCATCAGTTGGCTTGCGATGAAACTGCAGCAGTGTATGCAGGGTAATATAGAAGTGGTGTCTTAGAAAGAAAGCTACATTGTTTGCCATAAATCTTGAGTTATCTACGAGCTGTTTGGGGCAGGGGCTAATCTTTTGGCCCGGGTTCACTTCATGAAGTTCAAAAGCAGTCCGGGATTTACGTTTGAAATTTGATGGCCTATGGCCATCGAATTCTTAAGGTGTCTGCAGTCAATGCAGAGGCAGAGTGTGGTTGTCTTTCTTTTTACCAGTACAACAGGCAATGCCCAGGGACTTGTAGGTGGCTGAATGGCATCACTCAGCATTTCTTGAGCTTGATGCTTAATAACCTCCATTTCCTTTGGGGACACACAGTATCAATACTGGTGAAGAGGCTTTCAATGACGCTGTGCTTAACATTCATTGCTGGGGAGAAGCAGCCAGAGAATTCTGTCAGGCTTAGCAGCCATCGCTTTTGCTGACATGATGAATCAGCATTTATGTGAACGTGGTTGCTCAGGTTAACTCCAGTTTTTGCATCTGACGAAGTCATTTGTAATGTGCCAATGTTTGATGAGTTGATGTTGCTGAAGAGGTTACAGCTGTGGCTTGAGGGATGCGCTGAAACTCATTGCTGAAGTTCATCAGCAGAACTTCTGTGCATTTCTTCTGTATTCAAACAAGATGCCGAGCTGTACAGCTGTTTCATTTGAACAACGGCGAAATATTTGCCTCAGCAATGCTTTCATACTCGTCAAATTTGTCAAATGTATCACAGGTTATGAGAATCAACACGCTGTCTTGGCTGTAGTGTGATGGCGTCGACAATCCTCAAGGCATTCACGTAACTGTTGTCAGTGTTGTTCGCTGAGGCGTGCGCTGTGGAAAACATTACTCGCTCTGGCGCATTTGGTCCTTCCTCTGTGTCTAAGGGTTCACAACCTTCAAGATGCAACCATGCCTACTTGCTCAGTTTTCTATCCTTTGGTAGTTTATCGTTGTGCTGCATGTTGTTGACCGGGGTCCGTTTTAAGCAGCTTCGAGTACTAAGTGTAATGAAGCTAGATTTTTGTTTATGCGACCTGCACATTGTGTGCTCAATGATACTTCTTTGGGCTGTCACCGCACATCACTCTAAAAGTTATAAACACATATGGGGGAAAGTAAAGAACACTGGAAGTCCCATGCTGGAAGTTTTATTTGACTGACCATGCAGGTCCATGCTGTTTTTACAAAACAACAAAACCATCTATGGAAGATAACTACAAGGAACTTTAGATGCTGCCAAGAAATCGATAGTGTATGGAAACGTTGAAGCAAACCTTTTAAACGACAATTGGGCTGCTATATCAGTGTCACTCATGAGAAAGGAATGTAACAGCTGCATCTTACTAGCAGTTACCTACGGGGCAAAGACCTAGAGGCCCACAAAAAGTGTTCAGCTTAAAGTGAGAATGACGCAGTGAGCCATGGAAAGAAAAATTATAGGTGTAACCTCGAAGGGGCCCTGCATTACATTTACAGCATGGTCAAAAAAATCTGCCAATTGGTAGTCCATGCTTCTGAGAACACGTGAGACAAACATTGTAGTGCTGCACGATCACACAGCCTAGAAATTCAGCTCGAAATTGCTCACCCTGCTCCCGACAAATGATGCTGTAAACTCAAATGACTGCAACATATAGACTAAGTCCACGGCCTTTGGCTGATTTGAGCATTGTGAGCTGCATTGTTACTGCGGCTGCCGCAGGATGCCATGATGTGCCCGAGTGCTCAGTTGCGATCACACTATAAGTAAGGCCCCACCGCTGTGGTCTAATGGTTATGGAACTTGAATGCCAACACAAAGGCTCAGGATTGAATCCCGGCTTCGGCGGCTGCATTTTCGATGGAGGTGGAAATGTTTGAGGCTTGTGTACTTAGTTTTAGGTGCACGTTAAATGAACCCCAGGTGGTTGAAATTTCCAGAACACTCCACTATGGCATCTCTCGTAATCATATCGTGGTTCCGGGGCATAAAACCCCAGATAATATTATTGTTATAACACTGTAAGTAAGCTGTGCGTTCAAAGCAAAAGAGTCAAAGTCATGATGTGTGCCTACGAACAGACGTAGCTTCTTGCCTTTTTGTCGTTTCCCGACCTGCATTGCTCTCGGCATTCTTGCTGGTATGAAGAAGAGAAAGTTCATAAAATGTGAGCAAATCTTTGTAACTCTGCTTATACTAGATGGATTATAAAATACTTTGTGGCAGTTTGTGAAGCATTAAACTCCTTTAATGAAGCCATTCAATGAATACTTGGAAAAGTGTTTGAGAGTATCTTTAGGGGACGAGAAGAGAGCTGAATGAGTCAGAGAACAAACACGAGCTCTCTGACTCTTGCTAAATATCAAAGACATTTTAGTCAAAATCGGAAAGAAGAACTGGACATGGGCAGGGCATGTATTGAGAAGGCAAGATAGCTGCTGATCAGTAAAAGTGACAGACTTGACTTCAGGTGAAGGCAAGCGAGCAAGGGGTAGGCAGAAAGTTAGTTAAGTAGATGAGACTGAGAAGTTTGTAGCGATAATGTAGCAAGTGCAGGGCCGGATTAATTGGAGAAACACGGGAAAAGTCTTTGCCCTGCAGTAGACATAGGATTGAAAAATATGATCATTATTTTGGCAGCAGCCCAGGATCTAAACAATCATTAGGCAGACCATAAAAAATTTAAAGGGACTCTGCATGCTTTCTAACAAACAACAAGATATCTGCTCATTATTGTTGCATTTTGCCTGGGTAACTGCGTCTAGTAGCCGTGGTGTGATGTTTTTCCTTTCTTCTTTCTTTATGAGCACCAACCCTTTACTGCACCACCTCAGCGCCAACAGGCAACTAATAAATGTGTGCAGCTTATTGGCATGCTACTTTTGCAGTATGTTATACAAAGTGAACTCACTTCATTATTGCGAAATTCGAAACTGAAACCATAGGGTAATATCACAGTTTTAGAGCAGTGTATGTACAGTACTATTAAAAGCAGAACACTTTCTATACTTTAAGCTTCTAGCCTCTAATATTACATTTCGCTCATAAGACTTCATTTTTATGACACTGTTGCACCTCAACAAGTTTTACGTAACTCTCTACAGTTTAGTTTCAACTCTCTATTTGTAATTCATCGTAGATAGACATCAAGTTTTGTTCTTGAAGTAATGTTGACTGTGGTTCAGACATTTCTGATAGTGAGATACCTCGGTCTCATATGGTGGTATGGTGATGGACAAATGAAATGCATACTAGAAATTACAAAGTAGAATAGCTTTTGAACAGGATAACACAAGAGCACTATCTCGGACTGCTAATTATGTAATTGCTACAGATTTTTTATGCTTTGAAATGTATGCGCAAGCTTACATTATGGTGATATTGCATACAATGATAGAAACAAAGAGAAAGTTCATGTCCGTGACAGCAGGCGCATAGCCAGAAAATATTTGGGGGGGGGGGGGGGGGCACCACCTTAATTTTAGTCTTCAAATGGCCATTTTCGCTCTCAATGCCATGGCGACAAAAAAAATTCCGGAGGGTGAGCACGTGCCCGGTGTGCCTCCTCCTAGATACGCACTTGCGTGACAGTGCAGTCAGCGTCCAAAGTTTAGGGACCACGAGAAAAAAAAATTTTTTTTTGCTGCTTTCAATTTACATTTCTGCCTTGCTCTAAAATGTGCTAATAACATGTATTGTGCAGTTTGAATACAGCCACTGTGAAATTTAAAGTTTTCTCAAACCTAGTGGTCTTGACTTTTGATGCCGACTGTACGTATACACAAGCCTGTGAGTGTCATGCATGATTGGCGCTAAACAAAAGCCACTCTTTGAATTTGCATGTGGAAATTGACATGCTTCAGCTGTCAGAATAAGGTGTTCACATTATGTTCATTTTAAAAACGCACTTGATTTTTTTTTTCACTTCTTCCTAAAGGTTTGACGTCACCACAAGCCAAGACAACAGAAAAAGGCCCTATTTTATCGCAGCAATTTATGAACCATTCGACCTTCCTGCATCATGATGAATTGGACTTCATGCGCTCGCTTCGACAGTCCAGCACCCAAAGCAGCTTTGTGCCCTCTGCCACTGCCATTACAACTGCTGCCAATGTTACGTTTACCTTAGGTGACATTGTAGCTAAACGCAGTGTGTCTGATAGTGGACTCCATGTAAGGAAAGCACATTATATCAACGATGAAGCTGGCAGCCTGCTGAAACAGGATCCACGAAATTCTGGTAGCAAGAGTTTATCTGGTAAGTTTTCTATTTGTCAACGTACCGCTGAGGGGGACGGAATTCGCAACCTTCAAAGGTTGTTTGTTTGGTCCCCACTGGCGGCAAGTTGTATTTTTGTCTGCTTTACATTTTTCTTTTATGTCATAATTAATACACTTCGAATAAAACTACATATAATGCCTCTTATCTTTTTCTTGGTTTTGTTGTTTATTGGCTCCATTGGATTGTGTTTTAAGAAAGAATGTGGTCTGCCTACTTCATACCCCTTTCGTTCATTTCAGGGAGGAGACAATATCTGCCACTATTAAAAGCATAAAACAACAGATACCATCATGAAAAGCGTATAAATGCACTTCTAAAATAAAAGATGGTGGGCTTGACGCTATAGAATAAAAATGCAGACTTCTATCATTTCCTCAAGTGGATCCTTAGCTGGTAGAAAAGTATTACAAAATCTTATTTGCTTCACCAGCTTCTTAAGCTTTTAATTTGTAAGTCCACTGTTCTAAGCTTTTGCAGTGGATACGAAGAAGCTTCTTTTTGGGACAGTGTTGTCAATTCTGAGCTCCACAAGTAATGTGTAGACAAACAGCTGCCAACAACAAAAGTTTGTCAGTGTAAAAGCACTAAATATTTTTTTCTGCAGCTGGTGCTGGACATTTTGCATCGAGTATGCCTTTAGGGGCAAATGGAGTAAGCTCAGAAAAAAAAAGCATAAATAATTTTGTTTTGTGATTTCACAGCTAAAGCCTTCACACATTTGCTGTGAAGGCTTTATATGTAAAGCATCAATGTTTTGTTATTCACAGGTAGTAGCCGGAAACTTCGCAGGTTGGTCGAAAAGCAGAAGAAAGTGGTGGATTCTCGACACACTAAAGACAAGTCTCCACAGTATCGAGCAGACCACAATAGAAACAGTGCTAATGTCCAAAGGTCTCTATTTGCTGCACAGGAGCAGCCTACAAAGCTTGTGGATGCTTCAACCTACTGCAAGCCTAGTAGCAACACTGTTGCCACTAACACATCAGTGGCTTCGTCTGTTGAACCTTGCAAGCCATCTGGAGAACACCTTTCGGAAGCTGACTCTACTTTCTGCAGAAACATTGCTTCCTCGGGAATAGTGGAAAATGTAAACTTGTGTGCACGAGATTTTGTGGAGGAGTATCTTGAGTATCTGAAGGAGAGGAACAGTGTGGGATCTGATGCGAGCAAGCACTTGGGGCCATTCACCACTTCAACTGTGCTGGATGAACATCACAGACATAAAATATTTTCTGGAAATGATGCTGTAAGTTTGGCTTCAAATGGGTCTCCTATTGATCCTGTTTGGAAACGAAAGTTTGCCTCTGTACCCCAACCGAAGGAATACAGAGGATTTTCTCTACGAGGTGCTCACACATCCACACAAAAGCAAGTCCAGCAGCTTTGTGAGTAATGCCCTAGTGGCTTTTGTTTTATGTACTAGTGTGGCATAACACAGATTGTATTTATAAATCTGAGGTCTGTCCAGATTGCACAAATAAATATTTTGTAAACAAGTGAAGCATAATGACGAAACAAGTCATAAGAGTAATGCTAATGGTAACATGCAGCTGGCTGGGCAAAGTATAAATTGTGGTAAGTGCCTTGAATATCTGTAGTATTTGTTATCGCAAAGAAAAATTTTTTCACGGATAGTTTGATTATCATTATCATTTATATGCACTGATTTCGTCAATCTAGTGGTAATGAGCTTGTTCTAGCATAAAGGGAGATGCCATTAATAATCCACAAATACTCATTACACTTTTTGAGTTGCTTGTTAGAAATTGTTTCGTTTTGGTAGGCTCAGAAGGCATAATACACTGGGGGTGCATATTCATGCTGTTTTACAGCAAAGCTGTGCATAACTCAGATCATCAAATTTAATCATCTCTTTAGACAGAAAAACCATTCTATAAATTGATGTGTCCATGTTCATTGAAATTACACATGCAAGATTAAATTATTTGGATGAATTTTTTAAAGTGCTTGGTTAATTGCGAAGTAGAAGCTGCATATTCCCAATGAAAGAGTTAACATTGTCTTACTATTGTTCACACTCTCTCTGTAGAAATCGGCCAAGACATTCATGATATCCTTAATACCACGAACACAAAGATGCCCATCTATCAGTATTCCTGTTCTTAATGTCCCTCAAAAGTGACACCATCAGAATTATTCGTTTCAGTAAAGAAAAGGACAAAACAACTGCCAAAACTATGTGATCGATAATAAGATTAGCTCAAGCAAGGCAAAGCACATAGCATTCACATGTGTTTCCCTTGTGAAGAACAACCTGTCTACAACTTATTTAATTGCTGTTGTTCTAGAACTATGGGAAGACCAGGCATTGTTATGACTACTGAAGAGCTTATTTATTGCCCATGTGCTTCGAGTTGCCACTTCATATGTCCTTGCAATGCCATTCGCTGACCTCCTAGTCATCTCAGTCGGTATAGAGACTGACCTGGAAAGGCATTGGTCTTTGGCTTGAACTCTGTACCAGGATGAATGAATTGCCAACTAGGAAGCTTTTTTTATCTGAGAAACTCATGTGGATTTCTTTACAGCTTTGTGCCACATACAGTTGCATGCTGATATTTTTTTTCACATCCCGGCGAGCAGCGTTAACACAGTTGTACAGTGCATTTAATAGTCTTGCTGTCAACCATATCGTGTAGCGCATGGTTAAATTTTTCAAGGCCACGTCGCATTGGTCTATCAGATCAGATGATGCCACAGCTGTGCTAGTCAACCACCTTCACAGTGTGAATTGGATGGATGGATGCACTTTATTAGGTCCTTCAGAACGTGTCTTATCACATTGCGAGCCACTCCCATGTCAGAACAGATAGATCAAGTCTCACTGCTGCGTCGCGGGCCCATTGGACTGTCCATAACTGTTGTTCGAGTTCGGAGCTGGTAATAACACCCTCCCATTTGAAAGGCGTGATGAATTCACTACAGCGTAACGCGGGGCACCGTCAGAGTATGTGTTCTAAATTAGCTATATCATTGCAGATGAAACATGCATTAGTGGGCTGTATTTTGGGATAAATCGTGCGCAATAGCGCGGACTTGGGGTACGCCCCGATTTGAAGAAGCCTGAGTGTCAGAGCTTGAGGCCTGCTTAGTTTTCTGTGTGGTGATTGGTATTGTCTCTGTGCCAGGCAAAATTGTTTTTTTCAGTTTGTTATGCAAGATGGGAGGGTCTCAGTTTTACAAAACATCAGCGCCAAGCCCCTGAGTAGCTACGCAGTTTACTAGTCCTCGCACAGCTATGTAGGCTGACTCGTTGAGATTGGGTGGGGCTCCCTAAATGCATCCCATGTGATCTGGAAACTAGACGAGTGTGCGTAGCTCGATCTTGTCCCAAAGGATCTGCAAAGCTATCAGAATACGAGGTTGCATAGACTAAGTAACAGTCCCCGGCGTGTTTCTGAGTCCTTTGTAGTGGAGCCTTTGTCCTGGCCTGCCTTCTACCTTTGTTATTCTTGGGGTGGACATTTCGCTGGATAGGGACAACGATGATTTGTTCTCGCTGTTGACGAGGAATGCTGCAGAAGTGAGACAATTTCCATCAGTGGAATCCCCAGCTCCCGCAGGATGTTGGATGTTTCTACCGGAACGCGTGGTGGACAGCTTGGCTAATTGTACCCTCTCCTGTGCCTCTGCAATTTCTTCCAGTGTGCTATGCATGCTGAGACGAAGCGGTCTGTTTGAGCTTGTGTACATGGGGAGCCCAAGAGCTCTCTTGACACCCTTTCTGATTAACGTATTGAGCTTATCACGCTCCGACCTCTGCCAGTTGTGCATGGCTGCTACATTGGTGAAATGACACATCACAAAGGCGTGTACCAACCTTGCAAGGTTGCCTTCTCTAAGTCCTTGTTGTCTGTTGCCACCCCTTCTTATTAGTCTGATGGCATTGTCAGTCTTTCTGGCAAGTCTTGTTACTGTAATGCTATTAGAGCCGTTTGATTGTATGGCCATATCCAGAACCCAGAGGGAGTCCACCCTGTGGATCAAGCTGGCCTCACCTGTCCTAAGAGTGATGCCTACATCCTCTAACGGTTTTCACCCTCTCAGTTTTGGGCCCTTGCACTTGAGCCTGTATAGAGGCAGTTTCGATTTCCGAGACGAGCACCAAAGACCAGTCGGTTTTAGGTACTTCTGCGTACCCTCAATAGCTTCATGAAGCACAGCCTCTCTTCGTCCATTGCTGCCTCTAGTACACCATATGGTGATGTCGTCTGCATATATCGTGCGGTTAAGGCTTTGGAGCGCTTTTTAGACAAACCAATGAGGACTAGGTTAAAGAGAGTCGGGGATAAGACTGAACCTTGTGGCGTCCCTCTGAAGGCAAGCTTTACCGGATCTGAGGCAAGGTCGTCTGTTTTGAGAATAGCCTCTCTGTAAGTCAGAAATGATTTTGTGTAGTCGTGGAAGTGCTTGCCCAGCCCAAAGCTGGAGATATGACTCAGCACGAACTGATGGAGAACGTTATCGAATGCCCTCTCCAATTCCAGTCCCAGTATGGCTCTTATTTCTCTTGTGTTGGTATCGATAGCTTGGTTGTCGTGAGCTTCATGGCCACTTGCATCGAGAGGCCCGCCTTGAAGCCTATTATGTTGTGGGGATAAATGTCGCGTTCCTCTAGGTATTGGGTAACTCTGTGCGGATGGCGTGTTCGGCCACCTTACGCACACATGAAGTCAGCGAGACGGGCCAGAGGTTGTCGAGGCTGGGAGGTTTGCCCGGTTTGTGGGTGAGGATAGTGGTGGTGGTGGTCTTCCACAGCTCCGGGACACTATCACTCTTCCACGCGTGGTTGATGACATTCTTCAGGTACTCTACTGACTTGTCATGCAAGTTTTTTAAAACCTTGTTCGTGATCTTGTCTGGGCCCGGGGCCGACCTGCCATTTAAGTCATGCGTTGCCTGCCTGGTCCCTTTGCTTCCAAATGCCGCGTCCAGTTCTGGGTTAGCGCACCCTCCGTAGACGGGACAGAAGGTGGCAGGCCGGAGGCAATGAGCAGGTACTTCCCAAACGGTTCTGCCAGTACCTGATTGTCCGTGGATTCTTGCCTAGCTGGATGAAGTATGGGAGTCAGCATACACCTCTGGTTTGATTTGGTGTTGGTGTCATCCAACAGGTGCTTTAGCAGGTTCCAAGGGCCTGCCCTCCCCATCTGTCTGTCTGTTTATCGAATTGTAAATCTCGTCCCATTGCGGTTTAGAGAGGACCTTTCAGTGTTCCTCAATGCATCTGTTGACTTCGACAATCTTCTTGCGAAGCCTGCGATTAAGGTGCTGCCCTTTCAACCTGGCCAGTAGGGACTGTTCGGGCTCGAAAAGATGAGCCCGTCTGCTGTCCTTCTTTTCTATAGGCAGGTCTACGGTGAGCTCCTTAGTGGTAGCCTGGATGTCCTCTCTTATCTGCACCATCCAACAATTGAGGTCAAGCTTCTCCTCTCTTAGTTTGCGGAACTTGTCCTAGTCGGTAACTCAGAACTTACGTTGTCTTGTCCCTCCAACTTGGAGGACAGGGACCAGGAAGTAGTGGTCGCTACCCAAATCCACATTGAGGTTAGCCCACTTGACTTCCACCTCGTTTCGGACAAAGGCGAGGCCCAGTGTGGTGTCGTGGACGAAGTAACACATCTGGTAGGGAACGCAGGGTTTGTTACTAACACTAGGTCCTGGTTACCTACCTCCACAGGTCCTCCCTTTATTACCTGCGGTTTCTCCGAATGTGAGCGAATAAATTGCTGCAGATGGTTCCTCTCCTGAAGGGACCCCCTGCAGTTTCACTGCGACATTATGAATTCACTAGTTTGTGCGGCCATCATGTTGTTGTGGTGACTGGGCTGTTGTATTAGTTGTTGCCGGAAGTGGCTGTGCTCTGGATTAGTTGTTGCCGGAAGTGGCTGTGCTCTGGGATCTACAATGGGTGCAATGTTTTCCAGAAACGACTCTATCTTGGAAAACCTGTGATTATACCTTTCCTGTGTGACTAGCATGTGGCCCTGCATGTGCGAGACCGTCTTGTTTAGCTGTTTCATGGTCTCCCTAAGTGAAGAGAGGATTTTGCGAATCTCTGACCTAGCTCTACACGAGGCCTTGTCCTGCTCGCTAATTATGGCCCTCTTTTTGGCAGGCCTCTCCGTCTGGCATTCTTCAACAGTGGCCATTTTGGTTGACTGAGTCGATTGCATTAGGGCCTCAACGGGCTGTTGGTCTCCCCCTCTTTTTATCTCGGGCATCTCGGCCATAACTCTAGCTATGGTGTCTTTCATTTTTTTATTTTCGTCTTTGAGTTGCACTAGCCTCTCATCATCGCTTTGATGCTCTGACGGCGGACCCCATGTTATCTTTTCCGCTGCACCTTGACAGACGCGGTCGGCCCATGATGGCTGGCCCCCATGTTGCTGTTCTCTGGACTGTGACCTCCTCGTCTAGAACGACACCTCTTCTTTTTGGCGTCGGGAGCTGGAGCGTCCCTTGGACTGGGACCTGGATCCGGCTCTGTTGTGTGAGCTTCCTCTGGAACGGGACTGCCCACTGGACTGTTACTGGATCCGTGTCTGGCGCGGGAGCATCCCCTGGGGTGGGAGCGTTCTTTCGAATAGGAACACCTGCAGTGGCAGCGCCCCCTACATTCTTGTGCAGATGGGTGCCAGGCCATTTCGCTACCGTCCTTGCTTCCAGAAGCTTCTGCTGCCTTTTTCAATCTTTTTTCCTCATCACAATAGAAATCTGGTACCGCTGCCTGCAGATCTTGTCTGCCGTTATGTGCGAACCTCCACACAACATACATTTTGGCGTACACTAATGGTGATCACCCGGTTTCGAAGCTCCACAACCCCTGTACACCGTTTTATTGGGTCTTGTAAACGTCGGCTTGATGATATAGCTGCCCACACGAATAGCAGTTGTTCACCTGCTTGTGATACAGAAAGCACCGCACTAGCACTGGACCGTAACGTACAAAATTTGGCTCTTTCAAACCGTTGAAAACCATAATATGGTCCCTGTAATTTTGATTCTCTTCGCCCCTAAGACCAAGGGGTTCCTTGCATTCACGATGTTTTTTTCTAAGTCCACCGGGCCGTCGGTCAGCATAATGCCTCCGTTACCCCTTTGCGCGTCGAATGCAGGGTAGCCTCATAAGCGTTGATTTCATGGATTTTTCTTGCCACTTCAATCGTCTTGACTTTTATATACCTCAACGTGTTCTCTCTGTATGGTGTCCTGACTACCACAATATTTTCCTACAAGTTCGGACAGATGACTTCGTTGCTAGCTTTGGCTTTGTCAATCCCCGACACCTTCATTGTCGCTTTACCCACCGTCATCACTCCAACCTTAGAAACGCCAAGCACACCCCTTGGTCGAAGTATGATCTTTGGGTCTTCCTTAGGAAGCGGGGGCATCCGTGCTGCCTTGATCAGCTTCCTTTTAACTCTCTCTCCATTTTGTCACTCTCCATCAGACCCTCCGGTATTAGGCACAGATCGTGCAGTCTTCGTCTCAGCACTCCTAGCGATGGTAGCCTTGTTGGACGAGCATCTAGCCATGGCAGCTTGCCAGCCAAAATCTTCCGAAAACATCTCCGGCAGTAAATCCTCCCCTCCTACGGTCACTTCCATCATGACTAGTGAATTCCGAAACCCCTTCCTTTAGCAGCAGATAGCCACAGAGAACGGCAACACGCCAGGGTTCGTTCTAGTTCGGTTAGGCCTAGCTTCCCGGCAGCCTGGTAGACCGGAAATCACAAGTAGAAGCGAAAGATTCCACCCATCAGTGTTGGCGTAGTCTTTGTCTTATGTGCTCACTGGTAATGAACTACACTCAAAAACGCGAAATGAGACATCAAGATTTCAAAAATCTAGAGGTGCAGTTCCCACGACCGTGCTACTTCAGCTTTTTCTTCGCTCACGTGGATTAGAGCTCTTTTTTTTAATCCTTCATTGCATTTTGTACTTTATTTATGGGCAATACTTAAAGGGACACGAAAGAGATAGACAGACTGCACTCAGAGAACTCATAATCCCGCATATTTTACTATTATAAGTTAATTATTAGCGGAGAAAATCCAGGTTTAGGTTTCATTTCTAAACTTCGTGTTGAAATATCTGCTTGTGATGTCAAAAATTTTATTATGTATTTTTCGTATTTTTGGGACATTGGCTCTATGAAATTGTTTTCTAACATCATGTGTCAGGTCTGTGGCACCCACAGATGACAATGTACTTTATTTTCATCAATTAGATTCTACGTAAGACCCAGTAGACGCCTTCAGTCTATGGCGTCACGCTGTTTTGTGCGGGAATCTCAAGGTGGCATCTCCATCAGTTTTTTTTTTTTTGTGCGTTTTCTCACTTTCCAAGCGTGGTGTCATGTAAGAGTAATGTTTTTCGTATTGTGAAATTGTACTTTGCTAATATGGTGAAAAATCATTTTGCTCTTTAGTGTCCCTTTAAGAATAAAGGGTATTTGAAGGAAATTTAGTTCCAAGAATGCAATAGCATTTGTACAGGCTCATATTTTCTTATATTTTTATATTTTAAAACTTGTATACAGACTGGATATCTCACCCCACCCCCTTTTTTTTCCCCCATCACTTGCCCAATGGGCTCACCAACATCTCAACAGCCCTCGGCTGTCCCCCACCCCCCACTTGCTTTCTTTCTCATCCTCCACTTGTGTGATTTGGGGACAGAGATAAAGTGAATACTAACACGCTGCTAACAAATGCAGTAGCCACCTTGATGAAGATAAGTCCACCTGTCAAAATGTTGGCTCAAGCTATATTCTCTCTTGAAGGATTTTTTTATTCTCCTGTGCTGTTTTTGTCATTTAAACTTGTACCTTGGTTGTGGTTTGTTTATGACAGTGCAATGTAGCAGTGATATGCATATAAAAATTTTATAAAGGTTGAGCAGGCTATAATCATTGAACTAGATCACCATCCTATTGTATAGAAGAGAAAGTTGTAATGTATCTTTCATGTAAATTTCTATATTCAGTGAAAGAGTATAAATTATCCTTAATTACCAGTGGTCTACAATGACTCATGTAACATCTACAGTATAACATCTTCATATCTTATTATACTGCGATGAATACATTCCAAAAATATTCGTATAGTACTTGGATTTAGCTTCACATTAATGGACCCCAGGTTTTCAAATTAAGGGGCCTCCACTATGGTGTCTTATAATGATTTCGTAGTTTTGGCTCATGAAACTGCAGAATGTAACTTAATTTCAATATATAATTTCTGATGGATGTTTTTTTTTGTGAATCTGAAATTAATTTTTCCTTATTCTCTAGTCCATTTTCAAAGCCATCAAAAAGCATGGCTTGACAGATTCAAAAATCAGTACATCTATGCATCTTTCTAACTGTCCCTGAAGAACACTGGTTGTCAAGTAGTTCTCCTTGAAGTACAGTACACTTTTCATTAGAAAAGCTATTGTTTTTATGCCAGCTGCTGAAGTTAACTGTATCTTTGCAAACTATTAATGTTGACTGTGTGAATCTAAAAAGATACCATGGTATTCATCTATTAAGCTTAGGGATGAAATTATATTGTGAAGGTGCTGCAAACAAGTGAAATGTTTCATTGAAAGAATGTCACATGACTGCACTTCATAAAAGTGACTCGTAACAATGTTTAAAAACTTATGCATTAGTACCTAACATGTGTACCGATTCTTCGCCTTGCAGCAAGCAAAACAGACAAAGTAGAAGATGCTGGTGAGATAAATTTGGCAGCTGTTGAACGAAAAGAGTCAAGTGCCCAATCTGCAGAAGTAATTCAGCATGAACGGCCTGTGACTCATGGGAAGACCAATGCTGGGGCACATCCTGCGAAAACATCAGGTCAGATTGATAGTTCACAAAAATGCTTGTAATTATGAGCATTACCAGAAGGAATGGCGTTTGTTTGCATAGGATTTTTTTCTGTATGTTCTCCGCTTTTTTTTCCCTGAGGCACCTTCATGAGTAGACATGGGGTGTCTAGCAATACAGACCCAAGTTAATACAGACCGAAGCTCGACCCTTTTCATGTGAACCCATGTGTTTCTTAGCCATGTTCAGGGAAGAGGGAATCCTGGGGGTTAAACAGAGGCCGAGCGTTGAGAACTCCAAGGCAGCTTGGCTAAGGCAACTCACTTCTGTGGCCGCTAATTCCTTTGGCAACCACTACACCAATCAGCAGCCTTCCCTAACCTTTTCTTCAAGTCTTTGTCTTTCTTTTTCACATTCAATCCTTCCTGTGTTCTCTCTTTTATTTCCATCTTTCTGGGTGGCAAATGACCTAAGCTATATCTGAAATAGCCAACCTTGGTATGTTAGGATCGGCGCTGGAGCCAAGCAGAAAGGGATGTTCCCGGTTCTGCAAACAAGTTGCAGGAAGGATGCGGGCCTGCTGACAGCCGTCCAAATACGGGCACTGTCCTCCCAACCTGCAAGTGAGGCGCATTCAGTCGTGACGTCGCAAAGTGTACAACGAGACTGCTGAAATGGTTTTGGTCGCAACAGCCTTCTTGAAGAAATGGTGGCGTCAGCATAGATGACAACTCCGCAAAATGAGCTTGGCGAGCAGGGGTTCTTTGATGCTCCCGGTAGTGCCGGGGTAGTACGAGCATGGAACACAGCACACAGCGGCTATCTCACCCCAAGGAAGAGACAACTTGGTGCTGGAGGGGGAGTGTGACATCCACAACCGTCCTGGTCAACATCTTTGACCAGGACGGTTATGGGTGTTATCATCAAAAGTGACGTCACTGATTTGTGTCTGGTGGTTGGACAGAAATGTTTAAAGCCATTCCCCCATCTAAGGGTGAGGGGAAAAAGGACTCTTGATAATCAGCCGGAGTGGGCTCCTGAGAGAGCCTTCGACGAGATTGGGACGATGTAGGACGACATCTTCGTCTAGATGTTCGTCGTGTGGCGAGAAATGCTCGCTTGTAAATAATTTAGAATAAACCTCTTTACAATTTTTCTCATCAGTCTCTTCATGCTCAGCGCCTTCCTCCTGAGTCCCGGATGCTGGTAATGACAGTCCCAACACCTCAACAACGGATAACAGTGGGTGGGATCCTGTCAAACCCCGGGTTTCAACAGCGTCGATAATATTCAGTTATAGAGGTAATGTGCAGTAGGCATCTGCAGGGTTTGTTGCAAGAGATCCTGCTCCATCTCTTTGTTGGCTCCATAGTACATGATGATAGTTATAGTGCCAAAACAGAACGATGACACAGAGATAAAAAGGACCCTTTCTGTCTCTGTGTCGTCGTTCTGTTCTCGCTCTATAACTATCGTCATGTCATACCAACTAGCCAACGCTGCCACACTCCATAGTACGTAGCTGGCAAATTGGCTGTTAAACTTCCAAATTGAGAATCAATTTTTGATGAGCTTATTTCCGATGCTGTCGAACTTGCCCTAGAAAAGGAGGTGCACTGAAGAAGCATTCAAACTTTTTTTACCTAACAACAAGACAACTTCCCATTCTACCGTGTAGTTCACATTAAGAAACTTGAAATGACTTATAAGTTATTGCACATTTTTTGTTGTAAATTGCTTAAAAAAAAACAACAACAGCCAAGCTTATAAAGTTACCAAGTTGGTCGCCTGTGAACTTGTGCTGGATCATCTTGATAGATAGTAGCACACGAACATATAGAACCTACTGTCCCTTGAGAATGTCCCCAGTCACTGTGATCCCACATTGTGCAATGGTGTCATTTCAGTTGTTGACTTGATGTAGCTAACAAGAACTGAATTTTTAAAGGAATGGGGAACGTAAACTTATGAATTCAAATGTACCATAATGAGGTGTAACAGTAAAAAGGTTTTCACATTTGGTTCAAGTGCCCTGCTTGAGACCATTGGGTCATACTATGGGTGTCCTGTGATGCCCTACCCAGGTAACATTGGGGAAACACCAGTCAATTTTCCATGCTGTGCCCACTGTTTTCGGGCAGTACAAAATGTGAGGCTATGTCTCCAAATGCAAGGCCTCATGGTGTATCTGTGATGTCTCAGCTTCTGTTAAGAATTTTGTGTGTTAAAGATTCTGAACAATTTCATGCATTAACTTTATGGTTTTATGGCTTTATAGCTAGTATTACTTCCATTGCAAAGGAAGGGATGTATCGAACGACTACACTGTGCATAAGAAGTAGAGGCACAGTCACTGCACTCCCGCTATAAAGTACTGCCCATACAATGTCAAGCTGCAGTGGTGAGCTGTATCAGCTTACGTGATTCATTTGATGCAACTAAGCACAGAACTGTGGTCTGTACACAATACACTCAAACCTCGTTTTAACGAAGTTGAAGGAAAGCCACAATTATTTCGTTATATGCATTATTTTGTTATATCAATTATAACAGTTTGTGGCAATGTATGCTCAGATGGGCGCACACCTATAAGCATGCAAAGAAGGAAACCGCCTCGCGGCCAAATGTACCGCTACACGACCACGCGTGCCACAGAAAATAAACTCAGTCGAATCTCATTAATTCAAACACACTTAATTCGAACTACCGGTTAATTTGAACTCAAACTGAGGTACAGTCAAATCTATGTGTATTCCAATGGGCGAAAACGCCCTGTAATTCAAACGCGCAAGCATTCGAACGTGCAAGACAGTTACTTAGAACATACCGCGCTCCGAAAATGCTCTCAGCTCCAGGACCGATCCCGCGGCAGCACCTCTCAACGCTGCACGCGAAAAAGGAAAAGAAGAAAAGGAAAGACTGTGGCGGATTGTTTGCTCTCTCTCAAATGCCGATCTGCGTAGTACTTGTGCCACGCTTCTCCCTTTTCCATCTCTGCATGTAGAGACCCTTCTCCTTTCAAGGCCGCGCACGGAGAGAGAGAGAAAAAGAAAGCTGTCGCGGAGAGTCCTCCTTTCTCGGTGCAGAGGGTAGCAGCGGAAACGCAGTCGTTGCCAAGTGAGAGGGAAATCGCTTTGCACCGCGGCGATGCTTCTCCGTCATGTGACCCGCTGAGTGCTTCCTCAATCCTCTCCTCTGGCTGTGTGAGGAGGATGGCTCTCTCGGCCGCGCGGGGCATGGCTGTAAGGTCGGTGAGAGAGTTTTGAAAGAGCCACGCTGAACGAGCATCAAACTCCGCAGAAAACAATTTTCTTAACACACTACGGTCGTTTTTTTATAGACTAATTTAGTTCATTATATCCATTTATCAGTCAATTTTACTTTGTTGCAATGAGGTTTAATATGCATAGTTCTCAATGGAGCTTTCAAGGGGAACTTCATTTAATTCTTTATATCCATTATTTTGTTATATCCGTTGCGTTATAATGAGGCTTGAGTTTAATATAATCAACTCTCGCTACTGTTGATCTGCCTGTCAAAAACATGTTGATGTGGCAAAGGCTCATTAGTAAATGTGTGAGTGTGTTCCTGTTCTCTACCGTATTTGAACGGTTGCAATTCGATGCTGTCTTTTGTTAACTGAGACGAGGAAAAAGAAAAGAAAAATGACTGCGACAGCACTGCACAAGCTGCGCGTGCTCGCTGAGTAAGGAAGAAGGGCGGTTGCCTGGGTGTTGTAACCTTTGCATCAATGGCTGTGTGCGCTTCGCATGGAACGTGCGATTGGGTCCTCGTCAAGTGCGCTTTGAGTTTCTTGTCGACGAAAACGTCGTTATCACGTTTGCTACTTCATCCATCTTTGCTGCCGCTACGTGGACTTGCACAAGCTCGGCAGACTTTTACCATTGATTTCCTGGCCATGAACCTAAACATCTATCACGTGTGCTGCTGTTGGATAAATCATCATGTTCTCCTGTGCATACGTCCCACTACAACATGCCGAACTGTAGCCTAGGCCTAATCAGTGTTGGTTGCTTTTCGGTAGTGGTCGCGGGGTATTAAGGTTGTGGTTTTGTATGAAATCAATGTAACTCTTTGCGGTGACTTTATTTGAAGGAAAAGTGGCATGGGTGGCACGGGTGGCACTTACAGTAACACTCGAGTGGTGGTTCGCAGTTCGACTGCAATGACTTGGATTATAGGGTGTGATCCCGCGAAATCAAACAATCAGTACCGTTCAGTGCACAAAATATCGGTCGTGATCCTGCGCATTATCTAGGTGGCCTGAATTGTAATCAGCGAATTTTGGCGGGGGTGCTTTTTTCGCAGTTTTTTTTTCCGCGATCATTTTACTGGTAACGTGAGTCTTGGGATGTTGTTATTTAGAAATTTGTATGCCCACCGCATCGCGTGCCTTGATCCTCGGACACTCGAGACTGCATGCTCAACAGGTTTCGCACTAGTGTAGCCTATGAAATACAGATAACTGACAAACAAATATGCCAAGGAAATTATAGGGGATATTAATAATAGAAGTAATTGTAATGTAAATGTGAAGAAAGAAAAGTGGATGAAAAGATAACTTGCCGTTGGCAGGGACCGAACCTGCGACCTTCGAATAACGCATCTGATGCTCTACCAACGCTCCCACGTTTAATGCACATACATACCCCATAAAGTGGAGGGGTGGGATAGCTCTCGTGGTAGCTCGTTGGTAGAGCATCGGATGCATTATTCGAAGTTTGCATGTTCGGTCCCTGCCCAAGGAAATTTATTTTTTCATTTACTTTTCTCTCTTCACATTTACATTACAATTACTTCTAATAATATCCCTTATACTTTTCTTGGCATAATTGTCTGTCAGTTCTTATTATATTATTGTTTCTAACAAAGAAAATGAGCCCTAAGGTCTACCTTTCTTTCCTATGAAATTTAGTTTGTTTCAGCCAACGTGCAGATATTTGTGACTTTGGTGACACGTATATTATCAGTGGTTCATGCTGTAGTTGCAAATAAAATTTTTGGAAATATTACTCTGTGTAATAGGCACCCCCCAAACTTGAAGCCAAATTTTTTGGACAAAAAAGTGTGCCTATTGTTCGAGTAAATACTGTATGCAGTCGTTGGTACTGCAATGAATGATAAAGTGCATAGTGCTCCATGGTACAGCAGCGATAAAATCCCGAATTTCATGTGTCGTGGCTCTATTAAAACACATTTAAATCTAGAATTATGTAGGGCTCAGGAAGTTCATCAATAAACTTTAGGGTTAACTATTACTTAGGTTATAACTAGGTGGAATGTATATAAAGGAAATGTATTCGCTAGCTTCACTCATAGCACCACTTGAACAGTGACTTCCTCCAGATGTGTTCAGAGACAGAGTGGCTGGCAAGCAACACCCCTGTGAACAATCATGGCTATTCTACTGGAAAAAGTGTGTTGTCGGGGTCCTTGCAAAAGATTGCATATTGGCTGAAGAAGTTTTTGTAGTCTTAAAGTGTCTTTCTTGAACACGGAGCACTTTTGGCTTCAATTTACGCAGGAGTTCTTTCACATCATCAAGAATGTGGAGAACAGTTCTGTTTTAGCCTTGAGGAAGACAACTTTGCTTGCCGAAACAGCTTGACACAACGCCTGTTTACGGATGTTTTGTCTGTCTTAAACACGTAGCACTAACCTCTTCCTTGAAATGAAGACGCAGGTTTTGCACTGGAATGTCGGAAATGTTCTCCACATTTTCAAAGTAGAGGAATGTTGAGTGACCCTAGCTATCACACATTAGGCTTTCATGGAATTGGACGTGAGAAGTACTGTGAAATGTAGTGCACATGTATCGTCATGAATGTTTTAATGCATACATGGGCATGTTTTCATTTACATTTCACTTCACTACCATAGTATACACTGATTTAAATCTTGCTGAAGCATATTACTACAGAAAGATTGTCCTATTATTATGCATGCAGTAATCACACCAACCAGTTGGAAGACGGGCAGGAACTTAGCCTTGAGGATACATGGGCCATACCTCGCTGCTTCTTCAGGGAAATCAACAGGGGTTTCAGGTGAGTCCTGGGAAGCTTAATGTATACAACATTCCACAAGGAAGTGACAGATACCAAACTCATGTGGTTCGTCGTAGAATGAAGTTCTTTCAAAATTATAGATCCAATAGTTGTTGGGTTTCATGTCCCAAAACCATGATATGATTATGAGGGAGGCTGTAGTGGTGGGCATCAGAAAGGTCAACCACCTGGGGTTATTTAACGTGCACCTATACCTAAGTACACCGACCTCCAGTATTTTCACCTCCATCTAAAATGCGACCGCCGTGGCTGGGATTTGATGTAGAAAAAAGGCACCGTTACCCCTTCAAGTTTTTATGCAGCCTGTGGTCACAGCACTTAAAAACATACTAACCAAGTTCTTGAGGATATTTTAATATTTTAGATTTTATTAAGTTACTTGTTCATATACTTGATTTGTCAGTAAAGTTCATTAGAAGCTGTAATTATATAGTTTGAAAGATGTAATTGTGCACTTAAGCACTATATCATGATTATTTATCACTGGCACTTATTTGGTACTGTTGTAAAAAGCATTGTAGAAGCTTACATCACATATGAGCTCATACTTACAGCCTCATGGTTATCATGTAATTACAAACTGAAGCGAGGCTGTAGGTGATGCTTTTTTTTTTTTTCACTTTCCATAGCCCTTGGAATCTTTTTTTTACAATATTCATCAATATTGGTGGAACTTTCTGAGTTTATGCATATTTGAAGGCCGATTTCAGATAATATATAGAACATATGCAGCTGTTTTAACGTGTGTCTGTACGTGCATTTGTACATATCTGTAGTGCCACTTTTTAACGTTTCACCATAGTCCCTCAATACTTTTTACTGGTCACGAAACTTCCCTGTCACTCTATGGGAGAGCTTTGGGTGCCGGCAGCTTTCACCGCGGGGCGGCGCCACCAGTGTTAAGGGGGACCCGTCGTACTCGTCCAGGCCACTGCGGCGTCTCTCAGCGAGGCGACGGCCGAGCGAAGTGTGTAGGTCTTGTGTGCGTCGTGTTTTATCGCATGTGTGCGGTGCTTTGTGTGCATTTTAACGTTTTCAAGCGTAACGAATAGTTATCGGCTACATGAAGAAAATGTAAGAGACATCCTGTGCGCCGCACGGTCGCTCCGGCTACCGAGACGCTCGTCGAGGCCAGTGAAGCGACTGTGTTCTGTGTAGGCTTTGTTGGTGTAGTTTTATCGCATGTGTGCGGTGCTGTCTGTGACTGTTTTTATATGCGACGGACGGTTAGCAGCAGCTTCTCGAACAATGCCAAAGACATGCTGTGTTCCGCACTGTCGCAAAGGTGTCGTGTTTTGTGTTTCCCAGTGACACTGAAAGCCGTGAGCAGTGGAAGCGGGCGATACCGCATAAAAAAAAACGGCACATTCGCGTTCAGTTCTTCGAACGCTCGGGTATGTGAAAGACATTTCTGTAACTAACTGTTAATTGAATCATGTATATTCGGAGGAATTTAAACTAAGTATTTTTTTCAAAGTATGGACAAATCGTCACGAAGAAGTATCATCGCTTAAGTTGCACACGTCAGTACGTCTCCCGGCGAACAGGCGTAACGCATGCCCGTCCCTTACAATACGTACGTGCGCCTGTGTAATGGCACTGTTGGTCACGGTTCTTGCACTGACATCAGCTACAGCCTTGAGGAAAATAAAAAGCTATACAAAGGCATGATCAAATAATGTTTGCTAAATCAGCGTACGGGGCGTGACTGCACGCCGAAATTGCCGCAATCCAAAGGAATAGAACACTGCCGTAATCGAACAAACATTTATGGTCGCTACGCGCAGGTGCGAGTACGCTGCCTATACGCGATTGGTGACCAGTTCAAAAAACCCCACGAAAATATGTCCGTGAAGCCACCATAGCAAGTATCTGCCAAGGAAACCTCTTCACGCACCAACAACACGCCGTTTGAGCGCCTGCGATAAAAGCCCCCTTGTCTGCATTGGCGCCCCTGGCGGAAGACTTTTTCCTTATACCAAACATGGCCCGAAGTTTCATGACCAGTAAAAAGTATTTAGGGACTATGATTTCATGCAATAGAAAGATTACAACAAAGGCACATTTTATCCGCATGCTTCATATAACATCGATTCCCAAGGTATGTAAGATTTGCCAAATTTTTTTTTTAACTTTTAATTGAACTTAAAAACTTTCTTTACAGGGTCCATCAATTTTGATGGAACTTGCTGAGTTTGTGTATTTGTAAGCTGATTTCAAATATTGAATGGTTTTTCTTGCTGTGAGAGATAGTCTCCAAGATATCAGAAACAGCTACTTTGTTTAATGCCTAATTAGCTAGTTACTGCAACGTGCACCGCAATGGTAAACCCACAGAATACATTCAAGATGTCCGAAGTGTGTCGTAATGTATAAATCATTGCTTTAGGCCGTTCTTTATCAAAGTTGTGAGCTGTTGAAGCATGTTTCAAAAATGCCCTCATTGATACTTGAAACAAAAGCTCTATTTATGAACCTTTTCTTATGGAAGGACTATGACAGAAATTTAACTTACGACACATTGCATCTGTTCATCTCAGAAAAAAAAAACGATATTGTAATTATGACCCAGCAAGAACAAAAAATACATGTATTGCTCCTCGTTATAGGAAGGACATGAAAAATTGTTTGCTGTTTACCCTCCATTTTAAAAGCCAGGGCGCACAGGTTTTGGTTTTTTAAGGTAAGATGAAGATAAAAGTTCATGGTATTCAGCTATGAAATGTTGCGAACAGATGTGCAATGATGCTAGGAATATGAAGAGATTGTCAGCGAAAACTTGATTTTTGGCTGATGTTTGGAGCTTATGTTCTACGTCCCCCCTTAAGCCTGAAAGTTTTTTTCTTAAAAAGAATGTTTCAGACTTGTGTGCCATTGAGCTTTAGACTGGTGAAAAGAGTCCCTGGGGTAGCAGATGTGAAAGGTTACAAGAAGAGCAAAGCTTTGGTCTAATTGTAGCTATTAATACATAGCTACTAATTGCAGTGTGCTACTGAGAAGCACAGAAATATGCAAGGATTAACACATGCACAAACATAGGAAGCTTGACTTCTGCTTGTCCTGTGTGAAACTACAGAATTTTTCCTTATCATGACTTGTCAACTTGTAAAAAGTAATTTATCAAGGGATTAAATATTCATATAATTGCAAATGAATTTTTTGATTACGTAATAATGCCCCCCTTGGCTTTGCCAATGCTGGGTGGTTTTGAATGTCTTGTGCCACCTTTGATATGTCATAAAATTTCGTAACGATGTTGCCAGGCTCATCTTTTGATGCATACATTTTGTTGCTTTGTATGGAGAGTTTTTTTTTAAATGGCCCTGCAACTTTTTCAAAGCAACCATGGACTGGCTTCACTGAAGGAGTTTCTTGCTTCCCAAATCAACCGCCGCAAAACTTTTTAGTCCGTCAAGTGCAAGCGGGAGTTGGGAATTTGTCACTTGCTCTAATAGCTTTCTGTCTTCTCTTGTTCAGACAGCGCTGGAAGCTTAGCAGGGAGGGATGGCACGGGTGAAGAACACTTTTTTTTGTGTTCAAATGCGCAAATTACTTTCCATGGGATCATGCGTGTGTGCAGGCACGTGCAGACCTCCTGCAGTTAAAGAACCCCAGGTGGTCGAAATTTCCGGAGCCCTCCACAACGGCGTCTCTCATAATCATATGGTGGTTTTGGGACGTTAAACACCACATATCAATCAATTAGACCTCCTGCAGTGGCTGTAGTAACTACAAGCTCGCGATGCACCTAAATTCTAGGCGACATGTAGCACTGTAATGTTTGGTTTGCATGGTCTGGGGAGCTTCGACTACAGATCGTCAGCATTTTCTGACCGTGCTGAAAAAAGTGTTGATGGGCCCCTTTAACTGTTTTGATGTGGCTGCCCTTTTTTTTACTTCGGCTTCCATCTCTTTGTTATGATTACATGTATCACTGAGTTCGATTTTGTATATCGGCTTTTAAAGCTCTGAAAATTCTGTTCAATCTATTGAGGTTGCTACTTTCTTATGCTTTTTTGTTTATTTTATTAAGTCCTTCGTGACTCGAAATAGCTTGCTTATTTTTTTCTTGGTGCTTTACCTTCAACGTTAATGGCTGCTTCAGAAATCAGTCTATTACAGTTTCTTTTCTTTTTGCTATGCCATTATTTTCTTTTGTTCTAAGGCATTGTATTTGTTCTCAAGGACAGTCCCAAATTCCCCTGTTGTATGTAGGCTGGCCTGTTTTTTAGTGGTTAGCATTGTTCTTGTTTTTTTTTTCAGGCTGAGGGTGATCCTGGCCATCGCTAACATAGGATCACTAGAATTTATTAGACGTGAAGCATCCTAATGCTGAGGCTTGTTTTCAACAGTGTCCATTGTCATGGCACAGCACTGTTAAAAGGTTAAGAAAAAGGTTAACAAGAACAAAATAAAGAGCTGTTTACCAGAACAAAATAAAAGGCCATGACTCTGTAAAAACACTAACATTTAAGCACCCATCAATCAAAGCATATGCCAAAAAAATGTTTAAAAATAGACAATATCAATCATAATTGTGACAGAACAATATAAAGCACCCGCAATCACGAACCTTTTATTCTAGTCTGCAACTTCAACGTACACATTATGGTCTTTAGGACATATCTTTGTCATTGCCTCTGTGTGTCTGTTGTTAAGGTATATAGAAAATCGTTGGTATAGTAAATATGTGTGTATGTAAATAAAAATTTTTTTGCAGTAAACAAACATCGATCATAGTTGTGAAAACAATAAACACCTATAAGCCCAAACCCCTTATACTAGTCGGCGACTTCAATGTAGACATTATGGACCTTAGGCCCAAGCTTTGTCATCAACTCTTTATATCCCTATATGTCACTGTATGTCACTCAATTTACATTATATTGGGCAACGCGTGGGTAATGTGTGGTTACTCACTTATACGGCATCCAGAGCTTCACCCAGCCATTGTGATTCACTTCATTGATATGTGGGAATTTTTTTCGCCTATTACTTCAGTGTCTTCTACTGTGCCTGTGTCTCTACATGTGAGACCTATTGTGTTCTTGTTATTTTTTCCTTTGTTTCTCTGTTAGGGCTTTTTCGTGTCCCCTTCCTACTTTTTTATCCTGTTGGAAGAAGCTGTTATTTATGCCAATTCGATTAAGTTTAGTATCTCTGTTATTTCTAGAGTGAATACCGTAGTTACAGATCATTTCCCCTTTGTTTTATCCTACTTTCACATTCAAGTCTCCCATGACTATGGTGTTACCAGGTAAACACCTCTTGTATTGCTTATTCAGTATTCTTATAAGGTTTTACTTTGTTTTCATGGCTGAACATTGGAGTGCATTCTTGTATTACTTTCAGTTTATATCTCCTGTTTAGTTTTACCTTGACACTTCCTACCCTTTCAATGATGCTGTAGGATACATCAATGTTGCCTCAGATGTCGGTGAATTATAAACCCCACACTATATTCCTTCTTTTCAGGAAGTCCTCTGTTGCAGAAGGTGTGCCTGTTAGTATTGTATATACCTTTGCAGTCCCAACCTCACTGAGGCCAATAATATCTCAGTTATTGACTTACAAAATCCCTTTAAGTAACTCTGTCTAGCCTAGGCTTGACAGGGTCCTTGAGTTGAATGTAAATAATTTTTGCTAGTGAGTTAATCTACAAAAGCAGAAAAATTATAAAATTTCTTCAAGGAATCTGTTAACAGAATAGGGGTGGCCATATCGCTCTATTAAACTGCTCTTTTTAAAAGTACAGTAGACTTTCAGTAAATGGAGAGAGAGAGAAACAACATTTATTTACGCATCCAGTGTGTGGGAAGTCGCCGGCCACGCAGGGCGCAGGTATTCCCTATCTGAAGACTATGGCTAATAGAAAATGGAAATCTGTTAAACGGAACTGTTGCTTAAATGGAACAACTTTCTCTAATATAATTGATTTCATACTTGAATGCTGCGACCCACTTCATCTCTCAGTAAACGGAACTCCTGTTAAATGAAACACATTTTCCCAGTGCCTTCTGGTTTTGTTTAATGAGGGTCTACTGTACTCTTTACCTGTGAGGGCTGGGGCATATTTTAGCAAGTTTCCGCGTAAGAAAGTAATTTTGCATAGAATGAATACTATGAGTAGACAGGTGTTGTGTTTATGTTTGATCAAGGCCTTGGTTTTTGTCAAGGTCAATGTGTCATCAGTATTCAATTTGCTATATTTTTGTATATTTTTATGGCAGTTTTGTTTTTACAGCCATAAACTGCTTACACATACAATAAACTTCTGGTTTCTTTTTTGTCACTGTTCATAATCATTTAAGACAATTACTAATTAGCCAGTCGTCATTAGTTATGCCACACAGTTGGTATTTTTGCCTTTGTATAATCAATTATCAGTTTTTGAAATGTGTGCTCATGGGTCATGCTAATTTGTGTTGTAGTAGTTGCTAATCAAGCTGATAAGCTGTTAGCTACCGTATTAATAGCAAAAAAAAAGTAACATCAAGTTCAGTAAGCCAATGTTTGTGAAATTTTGCTATGGAAAAAAAAGTTATCAAAACTTTTTATTTTATTTTGTACAGAAAATCAGCTTAGGAATGGTGCTAGCAGAGACCAAGCTCAAGTGAAACGCCTCTTGGCAGGAGCTGAAGGTATATTGAGAAATTTTTTTCTACCCCCTGTGTTCATGACTTATAGGTGCATAGTTGTGTTGACACAAGTCTCTCATATGCAGTTTTCTTACTTCTTTTTATTTTGACACATTTAAAATTCGATATAACAAAACCCGATTTTGCCTAGTTCCCAACGTAATAAACATATATCGATTCCTCCAGTGGGTACTCGTAGAGATCAATGTTGTCACCCCAAATGAACGAAACTAATTTGGCAGCAAATGGGATTTAACAATGGTTTTTCTAGAATAAATGAGTGAAAAAGTGGTGATTTGTTTTTAGTATTCACACAGATGAGTTTTTTAGTGTTTGTTTTAATGCTGTCACGGTAAAAAATCTAGTCACCCTAGTCTCAGCGTTGGTTTTGTTTTGACAAGGCTGCATGCCGAGCCTATGTACAAAACAACGAAGTCAACAGCCGATGGTGTTCTTATGTAATGCATCGTGCTAGGGGCGGTGATATTTCATTGTTGCTGTAAGTGCTGTCGTTGGTGCACTAGTGTGGTTGCTTTCTTTATTTCTGGGTTTAAGTGACAGATGGAACTGATCATGCCTTCCTCATTTTCTTGCTTAAATTGCTTGTGCCCTCACTGCATTTGTACTCCCCATTCATTGCATTCACTCTCTTTGGCCTACATCAACCAGGCATGGGAGGCTCCCTAGGTGTGGGAGACTGCATGTCCAGGTTACCATCGCAGTTTTTCACACACGCAGGCATGGGTTAACAAGAAATACAATGCTCCAATAGCTTTTGGATTGTGCTGTGTAACAATTTTAGATTTCGAGAGACCGGAACCATTGTTCACAATTTTAAAGGGGCCCTGCAACACTTTTGGTCTGAAAATGCTGCCGATTGGTAGTCGAGGCTTCTGAGAACACGCAAGCCAAATATTATAACGCAGCTCGCTGCCTGTAATTTACAATAAAATCCCAGTCTGCCTAAAATTGCTTTTTCTTTTTTTGACAAATGATGCTACATAATCAAAAGTCGTTGTGTCACATGCCCAAGTATCACACCATTGGCTAATTTGAGCATGGCATGCTCAGGAGCCACTGCGGCCGCCGTAGGATGCTGCCATGTGTCCGCATGCAAGTGCGCAATCGCACTGAAGAGCCACATGTTCGAAGGTAGAGGTCAGGAAAAAAAAGAAGAAAGAAAAAAGTGTTGAGGCTCGCAAGTCTTGCGTATCGTAGCTTCTTTTCCCGTGCCATTCCTCCCTGCTTAGCTCCCAGTGCTTTAATTAATTGATTGATATGTGGGGTTTAACGTCCCAAAAACCACCATATGATTATGAGAGACGCCGTAGTGGAGGGCTCCGGAAATTTCGACCACAGCTTTGGGTGCACGTTAAAGAACCTGGTGTTTTTTAACGTGCACCCAAATCTGAGTACACGGGCCTACAACATTTCCGCCTCCATTAGAAATGCAGCCGCAGCCAGGATTCGAACCTGCGACCTGCGGGTCAGCAGCCGAGTACCTTAGCCACTAGACCACTGTGGCGGGGCGTGCTTTAATTACAAGAGGAGCGAAAAAGCAAATACAGTGTGTGACAACACTTGTAACTCTGCTCGTACTGGACCAATTCAAAACAATTTTGCAGCGGTTGATTCGCGGGGCAATAAGCTCTTTTCGGGAAGTCATGCTATGGCTACTTGGAAAAGTGTTGCAGGGCCCCTTTAAGATCTTCCCAAATTGACAAAATAATTAGAGTGTGGTCATCACTTCTTTAAATCAAGTTTCAGCTGTATTGTGTTTCTATGGCTAAAAGACAAGTTCTCTAGGCGATGTACTGCGAGATTTGTACTGGTTTGTGCTGAAGGTGTGTTCACCAGCAGCTCTCTTCTTTTTCTGTGATGTGGGAGATGGTTGAAATTTTAGACTTTAGGTTGTAGGCGTAGCTTTGTTAGTGATGGAAGTGCTGCTCCAATAGCTCCAAACTGCTCCAAAAGAGAAATGTGGCTCCATGCTGTTCCAAAGTGCAGTATTTACTAGTAACTGCTCCAAACCTGCTCCAAAATGGTATTGGCAAACTAAAAAGAATGAAGTTGAGCCATGGGACCATCCCGTGAGCATAAGCAAAACCAAAAGCAAGCTGTATACACTAGTATCCTAGTATGCTGCTCAGTGGCGTAAATCCAGAAAAATCTCAAGGGGTGACACGTATTAGGCCATGGTGTCCAATTTGTATCTTTAATATGGGTTGTATTTTTATTTATATAGGAATTAAATCATGCTTTCAAATAAAATAAAATAAAAAACGAGCATGGTGTCCGAGCTTGGGCAATTGCATTGTTCTATTCACTCTCTTTTTTTTTACCTTTTTTCGATTTCCATAGTTAACACAGCTGAGAGGCATTTATCACAGATACGCAGTAAAAGATAAGTGTTTTAAAAAGTTGATTGCACTATACTTGATGGTTAACTCAATTATATCACGTGCTAAATCTCAAGTGGGACACTTGCAAGGAGTGTCCTCCACAGCCTGAACACCAGAAAAGTCCAAACTCTCTTGACCCCCCGCTCCATGATTTACGCCAACAACTGTACTGCTTGTATACTATCTGCCTACTAGCATATGGCATGTTTAATAATAAAAATAAATATTTATTAGATGCCTAAGTGATGTTTTAGACTTCAGGAGTCATAAGGAACATGCCTCTGCTCCAAAAATTTCAATAGCAACCCTAAGCTATAGCATCTTTTTCTGCTCTGAAGACACTTAAAGCTGCTCCAAAGCACCATTTTTTTCTGCTCCAGAATCTGCTCCAAAAAGCAAAATGTCGCTTTCATTACCTGTTTATTCTAAGTTCTGCTCATACATGTCTAAAATAACTTTAGACTTTATGTTGTAGGAGTAGCTTTGTTTTAAATCCTGCCCATGCATGTCTTCAAGAGCTTTAGACCTTAGATTGTAGGGGTAGCTTTATTACAAGTCCTGCTGATGCATGTCCGAAAGAACTTTAGACCTTCAGTTGTAGGGGGAGCTTTGTTTTAAGTCCTGCCCATGCATGTCAGAAATATGTTGTATGTAGTAGTTCATTATTTTAAGAACCCTAAAAAGAACCAAGCTGGATTGTAAATGAGAGCAAATATAAGCAAGAAACAACCATGGAATGCAGAGCACTAAACCAAACAAGTAGTGCAGACTGTAAGTGAATATTGGTGCTTACTTTACTGAAGATGGATAAGCTACAGAGATTATGTCAAATTTCACTTTAGCTTCCTAATTCATTACTGCTATATATAAAACAATGCTTCACAATGTCTTTCATTGGGTTTCTGTAAAATATCGGAGAAGTTTAAACTACTGACACTTCCAGTCTTATTTTCGGTCTTATCTAGGTGAGAAGCATATTTTATCTAACGAAGACAAGATATCAGCTCTCCGGAGCTTAGGAAAAAGTCTGAGTGGGAAGAGAAAAGCACAGCTTCGAATGGGTAAGTGTAAAGTTTCAGCATCTTTTGGGGGTCAGATGAGATGCGATGGGCATTTTCGTAATGCCTACTGTAAGAGCATGCAGGTTAGTTCATAGCATCCAATTATGGTGTGTGATGATGATGATAGAAGTGTCATTGGTAAAGCAGTATTATAAAACTGAAGCCTCATGTGATATACAGTAGGGTTAGTGTGGGTAACACCCATTGTGGTTTGGCACCCTAGAGCTCATTGTGGCTCCTTGTGTGTGTGTGGGGGGGGGCTCAAGATAGTGTTATTTTCTGAAATATAATTGGTGTTTACGCTTAAACCTGTATACTTGTGTCAAGATGCACATGCTCAGAGGGTTTCCCACTGTCCCTGATAATTAGTAGCAGTCAACTCTTTAAAAAGGGACTGACAACAAATTGATTGAGGTGCCAGGTATGTTTTGTTTTTAGTGCTAGAAGTCTTACCAGTCAAGAGGTCCGGTGATACAATGGCACAGTGGAAAAAACTATTGATTATTTGTTTTTCAGTTTTTACATTCGCTTTGAGGATGAACTGTTCTGCTAGAAACATGTTGGAAATGGCGATAGGTGAGTGCGAGGGCACTTACATGCCAGTATTGGTAGGGAGTGTTGGGATATTTCGCTAGTGCTATTCATTTCGTGCTCACTCGCGAATTTACATGTGTGCAGAAACACTCTCATGTAGCCCCATGCAGTTTGGTATAGAGCTCTGCGCTGCTGCTGTGGCCAGTTTTTGCTCACGCCACTCGTGCCGCCGCCAAAGTTTAGAGAAAGATCACGCCGCCGCCGCGCACTGCCGTTGGCCTTATTTTAACCCGAGCGAGGAATCTGGGCATAAAATATACACCACTACACCTTATTTTTTGCAGCTCAGATTTTTCAGAGCGGCGTTTGCGATGCCTTGACTGCTCTCTGGTGTCAGTGTTTGAATGCCCTGTCTATATAAAGGCCCTAATACAGATTCTGAAGATATACAATCGAGCGTGTTATTCTCTCTTGGCATTTCTTGTTTTTTTTTGGCGTTCTTCGTGATGCCAGATAGTGATTCAGGTGACATGACTAGCGCACATACTTTCGAATGGTCTATATACAAGGAATATCAGTCGTAAATTGTTCTCTACCCTGCTTTGCCCTACATTTGCCCCCTCCTCCCTTTTTTCTTTCTCGCGTCTCGCATGATTATCACGTGCAATGAACTTGTAGTTTCACTGCATTATGTGACTTTCCGATTGCCCAAGTGGAAATAACAGTGTAGATCACAAGCTAGAAATCATGATAGGCTCAATGCTTAGCGCTCACATATTGCACACGTACTTTATAAAGACATGAATGTCGATGAGATACAGCCTGTAAGAGTTGTAGTGAAGGGAGTTTAGTGGAGTGTAATAGAGAACAAAACCAAAGGAATAGGCTCTGGCTTATTTCATTCTTCCAATGGATGAATTATTTACAGCAAATACGACTCAGCTCACCATAAAAAAGGCCAGCCCGCTCGACGGTTTTGTACATTTTTTTTCTGTGAGAAAATATTATATGGACACACTATACAGGCTTTCATCGTCGCTGTCATGTTCTGTATAAAGTACAAATCAGTGACTTTTGTACGCACACTATGCTGTTCCCGGGGATAAAATCTCGCGAGCACTGGTGAGGAACACTGCTGAAGCCTAGATGAAAGAAGCAGCCCTTCTCTTTCGCACGGAGAGCACATGCGATAACATCACTCCGCACACGATGACTGCTTTGGATTGCTCTTCCACCATAAAGGAAGCCCTGTCAGCCTTTAGCTGGACGAAGGAGTATGATATAAGAGATACTCGGGTAGGAGGCTGCATTTGGAGTTTCTCGATATCGGTTGAAAATGAGTTAGCTGCCGCCTAAGTTCCTCATGGGACCGCATGCTCCTATCACACAGTGTAAAATGTGAAGTCGTCGAAAGGTTTCCTTACCATAAAGCTGTTGAAGTCGCCTCAAACTCGGCAATTCACCCTTAATGACGTGAGATCAAAACTGTTTTGAGCTTTCTTAAAGTTCATGAGACTTCCATTGAATAGACATTTCAGCCTTATCTTTTGGGGAAATTGAATGTTGTAGCAAATTTTGCAATTTAGATGCACTCCTCAAGTTTTGTGACATGCATGAATGCCTATCAAAGTATGTACCTAAAAAATATATTAAATGGACCTCAAACCACCCATGGTACCATAAAAATATAATCCATCTCACTCATCGCATAAAGCACTTATGTAAGAATCGTCATTACAAGTCTACTACTTCAAAACTACAACTTCAGCAATGATTTCGCTACATTTATGGAAAAAATACATTCAGCTTTTATTTGTTGTTGATTAGTGCTGCATCGTCTATGCCCTCATCATTTATTCTTTGTGGCCGATCCTCCTGAAATCCTGAAGATTTAGCAAATGCTTTTAATAATTACTTGAAGTGTGTTTTTTCTGCTAATGGCTTCACTCCTTCATTTTCCACGTGCAGCAAACTACCTGCTCTTTCTAATCTTGAATTATGCTTTCTGAAGGACATGATGTTATGCTAAATCTTCAGGTTTCGAAACGATCTGGCCCAGACGGTATTCTAAATATGGTTCTAAAGTGGTATTCAGAATGCCGTGCTGACTATTTTACTGTAATATTAAAAAAGATCTATAATCTCTGCAGCAGTTTTCAGCTATAGCAATTAAGAAATGTCATTCCCATATTTAAGTCTGGGAACAAGCAAATAATACCAAATTATAGGCCAATATTTTTGCTTTCTACCAGCTCAAATTTTTGCAGCATATCATTAACAAATACATTGTAGAATACCTAAATGCTCACAATATACCTTCATGATTACAGCACGGCTTTCATGCTGGCTATTCCACTGTTACGCAGTTGCTTTAATTTACGCATGACGTTGCTTCTTGTCTTAACGACCAGAAACAAGTTGATGTCATATTCGAAGGTCTTTGACATGGTTTACCTTGGTAAACTTATAGCTCTTTATCAATTTTTTCGACGACAACAAGCTGGTTGATTGGACAACAGGTTACTTCAGGGTGCGTACAGGTCTTTGAAACCTTGAAAGCCCTTGAATTTGAAAAGTGCATTTTCAAGGCCCTTGAAAGTCCTAGAATTTTTTCCCATCCTTGAAAATCCTTGAATTTTTTTAGCACTCCCAATTGACATTGCGGCCTCCTATATGTGGTAGATCGGCATACTTGCCAAGTCTCCTGGTTTTCGATGAGTTCTTACGTTTGTACTGTTGTCAGGAAAATCTCACGGAAATTGAAATTTCTGTGCGTGATCTGGCTGCATTGACAAAAATGAAGCCCAATCCAATCCAGGCTTTTTACGAACCCACTGCATTTTATTGTGACCGAATTTAGGAGGCGTTGATCTAAACGTACAGTAGAATCTCAATGATGCGAAACTGGCAGATATACGAATTCAAGAAATGCCTCAGCCAAGTTTCATTATGTCCATTGGGCCAAAATTTAGATGTTCTGAGCTCTTTCTTAACAGCGGGTCGTATGAACTTAATGCCGAAACTGGAGAATGAAAGCCGAGAGCAGCGCGCTGGAAGCTTCTAAAGGGCACATGCGGCCAGCGGAACTGCGGTTATCAGAACTGCGGTTATCAGAACTGCGCTTGTCAAAACTGCGCTTATCATTGGCCACAACCGCTGTAGATGAAACCGTTGTCGCTCTTGACATGATCATGTCGGGTGACGACGTGACAGGACTCCGAAAGGGCACACGCCTTCAATGATTGACCATTTAAAACAATGTTGCGTTTCACTAACCCAGCGGACAGAATCGCAGCAGATGCAATCATAGCAAGAAACGACATGGTTTGAAAGGTACATGTGCAGCCAGTGCACGTGGATTGAAAACGAAGCTTCCGGTTTCCGCGACCGCCGCATTTAAAACCACGGTTGTGGACGTGGCTAGCGCAGCCGTAGAAGCGATAAAGATGCAAAAAACTCTAAAAACATTGTGGAGTTCCTTTCCAAAGAATAAGTCACGTTGTTCCTGTCGATCTGGGTACTTTGGCTGTACTTAGATGTTACGTTTTAGTCGGCCTTAAGCGAAGCTTTGACCCGCGCTTTCTTGGCAACCAGCTGCATCGTCCTGTCCGTTCACCCAGGAAAACATACACGAGTTCTTTTGACAGATATAGATTTCGTTAGTTGTTTTGATGTTGAAAATTTTGAGAGATATAAGTAGTATGTTCAATCCTTATTGAGATTCGCATTTTTTACTGTAGTTGGGAAAACCTACCCTCGGGTGTTCACCTACTCTAAGTCTGTATGAGACCGCACAACGCCAATTTGTACTGACCCCCCCCCCCCCCCCCCCCCCAATATTTTTTGTGGTGATTTCTTTCGGTGCAAGAAAAAAAAAAAAAGAAAGGGGGAAAGTAAATCAGCGTGACACCCCTATCCCCCTCTTTTCGTTGCGGAAATCTACGAGATTCAGAATACTTGAACTTGGCAGGTATGGATCGGCATCATTATGACCAACTCTCCATTTCCGAAACAGTAATTTGGCATGAGTTTATGTGGTTTTGTTTTTCAAAACTACACGGGGAATAAAGTTTTACTGTTTCATACCACAAAGAAACGAAGTGAGAGACTCATAATGCTCTTCGGTGCTGGCCCCTTTCCTGTTGTGCGAGTGGTGAAGCTAGTGAAGCTAAAGTGAGCTAATGTGAAGACTGGAAATGTTTCTTATAATTGCAGTATGCATGTACTGTGTAAGTGCAATAAAAATGAGTCAATTTTGAAAAATTCAGAGTAAGAAATTTTCAACATTGCGTGCCGCTTTTAGTCCTTGAAAAATTTGTGACAGGTCCTGGAAAGTCCTTGAATGGCTTTGAATTTTCGCTTTGGAAACTTGTACGAACCGTGTTATTTGCCGTCCGGCTTAAAATTAGTTGTATTTAACTGCGTTTAGTCATCTCACGTACATCTCACATCAGGAAGACGCATCAGTTATTGCTTGGTTCGCTTTTGTTTGTTATTTATATAAATAATGGAGAAGAAATTATTGGTGATACTCAAATTAAACTTAGAATGTATGCAGACAACTGCATTATTTGTAGAACCATCTCTAATACTCAAGATCAGGATGCACTGAACAGTGCTTTTTTGTCCTCGTCATTTTGTTACGGGAGTGAAACATGGCGAACTTCAAAAAGACTGTAGTCATGACCTTTTCATATAAACAGCCTCTTCATATTACATATTCTGATTACTGTGTAAGTCAATGTAGTTTAGACACATTGGTGTAACTCTCACAGCAAATTTAAAATGGCACACACACATCAAAACAATCTGCAGCATGCTTTTTGAAAACTTTGGTGTCTCTGACGCACGTTAAGCAACTTGACTGAAGAATACCGACTTACAGTGCATAAAACTTTGGTTAGACTCGAATACGCGTTATTTGTTTGGTCGCCTCACCACAAACATGACCTAGCTATATGTTAGAATCTGTTTTTAAAAAATCAACACTGCTTTTATTTCATCGCTATGACCAGCGTTTCTCGCCTACTTCGCATGTGCATGTTTTATCGCTGCAGCTTTTCCTAAACATCGGCGCACTTGCAATCTTCTCATCCTCCTGCATAACCAATATACTTCACACTGCGGTTTGAGTGTTCTAGCACTTATATCCTTCGTTGCATCTTCTGCACACCATACCTGGATATTTTATCCTCTAAATATTGTGCCCGTTAGATCAATTCTGAATTGTTTTCCTAGTTTTCTGTTTGTTTTTTGCTTTTATGCAGAACGTGCATTTTCAGAATGAAAATAATGGGTATTTCTACAGACTCGGTGCTGAGCAATTGGAAAGAAGAATTGTATTAACATAAGAGACAGTAGGATTGGGCGTGTTGGTATAACATGATAAAGAGTGCTTACCAGCGCAAACGACAGGGCAGGAGGGGACAGGAGACCTTCACAAGAAATACCTTCACAAGAAATAAATTGTTGGCAGTTCAGCACTCTGTCTCGTCTCTTCTCCTGTCCCCTCCTGCCCTGTCGTTTGCGCTGGTTAGCACTCTTTATCCTGTAATAACATGTATTTTGTTAAATTGTATTTTTTCGAGGTGCTGAATATTTGTATTTACACATGCTATGTCTTGAAAACTGAGACAGCGGTATTTGTGAATAAATAACATGAAGACATGCTACCACATTAACTGCTTCTCCCTTGCGGGGAAACTGATTTTTTAAACTTTTTTTTTTTTTCAAAATTCAAGGGACACGTTTCTATCTGCGTCAACTCTTGAATCTTCATTCCAACTCCAATCTGGTTTACTAAGTAACAGCCAACTGTATTCACTAAGCTGAATGCCTCTGTTTCGTAGTACCAAGGCTTCTCTCTAGATCGTGTGACATACCATGTTTCGTGACTTTCTGTGTCAATTCAAAATTTCAGCATGAATTGCGAACAGCGGGCTAGACTCCATCACTATAATTTGGTCCTTTCATTCGCACCGAGACCCCATAAAATCTTCTGGGTAACTTACCTTTAAGGAAATAACACTACTAATAATTTTTTGTAGGCTTGTATAAATATTTGAATTCTATGAATATTTTAAAAGAATATTACAGCATTCAAATTCGCTTTGGTTTCAATTTAAATTATTGAAAATTTTCAAATGGACGAATATATGTATATTAGTCCGCTTGCAACCTTTGTAAAGGTGGTTTTGCTGTAGTATAACAGTGCTATGCTGTGAAGTTACATATTCAGTAAGTATGTAATATTTTGTAAAAGCAGTTTCACTGCATTTAAAGGGTGCTAAGTCGTGAAAACCTCTATTCAGGGTAAATTCACACTACTTGTTGCTCCACTTCAAGGTTAAACGAACCCTCACATCGATCCATCATTTATTTAGTTTAAAAGGTTGTTATACAGGTTTATATGAGGGATTTTTTTTGCAAAATAAGCCAAATGCACAAACCGAAACTAAGCTAAATTTTACGGGAACGTAAAGTACGCCTAAGTATCTTCAACTTCTATAACAGTTCTAATCAAAATGGGGCAATTTCTTATTGTAACATGAACTCAGAAGCGCAGCTTTTAATGAAAAATGAGCCAAATACTCTCTGTTTCAATCAAGCTGAGCCACATTCAATAAATCAGCACTATGCAAATAACAGTGACCAAAACAACCAACATGGTCTTACCCAAAATGTTTCATTTGGGCCCTAGTTGCTTTGTTATCATGGTCACGTTCCACAATTAGGTTTTTATAGGGCGAGGTGGCACTTACTGGAGCACATGATGTTTAATGACAGAACTAGGTTATAAAGAATAAAAGGCGGACTTTTCTACTTTTTTTTGCATCCTACTAATTCTTTTCGAGTGTAGCACTACAATATCATGTCCTTCGTTCACTTCAACACGATTCATTTGAAATAAGATACCCATAAAACTAAGATATTGTGCACCTATGTATTCCCTGAAGAAGAAGTAGTCAACCGAAACGGCATAGCATAAAATGAACTGGAACACTTTTCAATGTCTTCAATAGATGTCAAGAACAATAAAACACTGATTATAGTCCAGAATAATGCAGTCTTTGCCAGGAAGCTGCACTCGCTCAAGTCTAGTAATTGCCATTACGCCCGTGCGATGAAGCACAGCACTGACAGAAGCACAAGTATGATGTTGATTGTATCACAAAACAATGCTATTCCGTACATTCGAATCCTTTTACACCTATTTTACAAGCTAGTTCATGCCTAAATGAAATGTCACAATTTATATAAGCCAAATGCAAGCTTTACTTTTCAATACTGACAGTACTGGGCTATATAGATTTTAGCCAGAATACAGATTTGTGGTATTTAGGGCAGAAGATTGTACTGACAAAAAGTTGTTTGAGCAGGCCCGACCATATTGTCAGTGGAAAAAAGTGCGTTCTCCTCTGTTTCAGTTAAAGTGCACCTGGCTCTTTCAGAAAAAAAAAAAAAATCTCATGTGCTTTAAGTGTAGAAAATTTTAAAACATTTTTTACAGATTATCACTTGCATTCTACTGAAAGTCAATCCTGCTACTACGCCCTGCAGTGGTGGTCTAGTGGCTAAGGTACTCGGCTGCTGACTTGCAGGTCGTGGGATCGAATCATGGCTGCGGCGGCGGCTGCATTTTCGATGGAGGCGAAAATGCTGTAGACCTGTGTGATCAGATTTGGGTGCACTTAAAAGGAAAAAACTCATGTGGGCGAAATTTTCAGAGCCCTTGACTACGGTGTTTTTCATCATCATATGGTGGTTTTGGGACGTTAAACCCCACATATCAAATCAAAACCAAATCCTGCTACTATTCAAAGTTGTTTCCACTTCCCGTAAAGGCCAGCTCCGGCAATTTTTTTACCATATCAGGATACTGGTGCTTCTATGTTCCTGAGACACTCTTGTCACATGCCCGATAGCTAAAATGCTCAACAAATTCGAAAATAATTTTTAATTACTGAAAAACCGCAACACCAAAACCGAACTCAAACAGAGTGCCATTTTACGTGTCACGTAATAATTCGCCTGACACTGCCTGAAACCTGCCTGATTGAATCTAATGCCCGCCAGATGGCACTACCTGTCCACGGCGTCTGCGGTGATCGGCTAAAACGCTTACGCTGTTATGGTAAATATATGGCAAATAGTGTGTGGCTCACAACACAGTACCACTTGCTAGCTATCACATGCCCACCAACACGGAAAAAGAAATCGCATGTTTAACCAAAAAAGCGCTGGCCAAACCCACACAATCCATAGCAGACAAGCAGTTGCTGCAGTGGCACATAAGTTCCATCACTTCCGCCAGGCAAAACTCAACGTTGCCCTCACAATATTGCCATTAATTCTGGCGAGGGGAGCGTTTCAAGGCAAACTATAAAATTCATTTGAAAAGAATCTGCGAAACTCTTAAGCCTGCAATTTGGCATGAATGGTGCAAACGTGCAAATGAACGTACCCAGTGAATTTCATTGAGATACACTGACCTCGAAAAATCGCTGAAGTTGGCCTTTAAAACAAAAAAAACTGCATTTGCTTCAATTAAATTGTTTCAATTGTTTCTAATTGTTTAAATTAAAAAAAATATGCTGTGTAGGTTAGTTGGGTCATGACAATGGTTAGTTGGGTCATGACTATTTCAGCGCAATTTTTTACCTGAATAGACAATGTACTCATTTGTCTTTTTAAAATATGTGATATATACTATTCAAATTCGATTTGAAATTATTCTCCTAAAACCTCTATTTGCTTTGAATTTGCTTCAGACCTAAAATTCACTATTTGCATTAGCCTAATTTATTGTGCATGGAAAAAATATGTGTATAGTATTGGCTATGTGGCTTTCTGTTGCGGCGTGCATTACAAGTGGTGGTATATTTTTATGCACTTTTCTAATGAATGTCTTCCCAGAAGCTTTGCACTGGCCACACCCTTGACGCAGCTGTTGTGCTGCTTGCTTCATTTTTTGCATCAAGCAGAACCAGAAAAGGAATCGTCTGCACCAGCCACCAAATTACGGCACTATGATGCATCTGCAGTCCGAAACTTCATCATGGAACAGAAAATGGGTCGAAAACAGCGGAAATGCGAGGCAGAGCAAGGCAGAGTGGATGCTGCCCGAGCAAGGGAGCTACGCTTGGAGAAGCTGTATGCTTTTCAGAGGAAGACTGCGTGTGACAGTGCTCGCATTGGCAGACACAAAATGAGGCGCAAGCAGGTGTGTAGCCTGACCGGTGTACTGTGGCAGGGCTCATCTGGAATTGAGCAAGAGCATTTGGGGCTTTGCTATAGTTCACTGAATATATATGACATAATATGCGAGAGAGAGAAAATCACTTTGTAACCTATTTGACTGCAAGTCAAAAGTTTCACTGTCACAGTCCACCTGGCTCCCTGGCTGTGGTGCTGAGTCCAGTTGAGTGAACCTTTTGACATGCTTTGTGTCAGCTACCAGCTTTGTGTCAGCTACCAGTAGTGGTCACAATATTGGGTATAACCCTTGTGGTAGAGTGATCTATGTTCTTGATGTTTTGGCCAAGGAGGATAGGATGTAGGAATGAGGAAAAGGTAGAGTGTCCTGGGGCATTTTTCATAGGTCGGCGAACTCACTCAAGAGTTGACTAACTCACTCATATCAAGCCGTGAGTCAGTCTCAGTGAGTGCGGGTGAGTAATATTTTGGCGAATGCAAGTGATTTCAGTTGAAAAACATTTTAGTGAGTGTGAGTTTGACTCGGGAGAATTTTGTTGAGTCTGAGTTTGACTGAGTCCAAAGCACAAGATGTATTTTTTGAGTGAGTCTGAGTGAGTTCCACTCATATTTGCCAACTTACGGTAGTATCTACTGATCTTCAGAATTACTATGAGCCTTACCTGGATTTATGTTTATACTCGCGTCTACTCACAAGTAGTATTCGAAAACAGTATTGCTCGTAGACCATTCAATATTTATTAATCAGAGGGGTGAATTAGGTATGGGGGGGGGGTTCCTTGTACTCCCTCTCCACCAAGTTTTCCGGGGAGCTTCTTGATAAGTATATCTTTCCTTGTCATCTCTTTTAATAAAAATTAAAAATGTCCTTGTCGGTTTGCAACCACTCACAACTCGTATTCCAAGGTACCATATCAAAAGGCGCCAAGAAGAGCATTTGATTACATGAGATATTAGGGTTAAAGAGCATTGTCGCCATGATTTAAAAAGTTAATTAAAAGAGTATCGTCGCCATGATTTAAAAAGTTAATTCTAGACGTGCAGACTCATGAGTCGACTCACTCGGGCTCACTCAGACTCGGATCGAGTCGTGAGTCTGAGTCTGAGCGAGTCTGGGTGAGTAATTTTTCGGTGAGTATGAGTGTGAGTGAGTCCAGTTTAAGAAAATTTTTCGTGAGCGTGAGTCCGAGTGAGTCCAGCTCAGGAAAGTCCTAAGCGCAAAATATATTTCATGAGTGAGTCTGAGTGAGCTCCTCAATTTTTGTCGATCTATGGGCATTTCTGATAATTAAGCTTCATGCTTGGTGCCCGACCTGTTAAAGATGAGTAGTGCAACTTTTTTATACTTTACATTTCACAAGAATACTCTGTAACCCACTGCCATGATAATTTGCTAAGTGGATGCTGTTACTTTATGGTGTAATAATTTTATATTTCTAATTGTGTGATGTTTATTCATGAGGATAGTTTGGTTCATTATATTGTAAATGACACAGGCTATTTTGCTATTTGAAGGCAGATAAAGCTGGCTTCACATAGCTGTGAATGGCAGAAATCGGGCCCTTCGTCTCCCCTATTCCTCATTAATATAATACTTAGTAATATGCTATAAACAAACAGTGTACTGATAAATATTATGTTAAGTATCATTAGTTGCCATAGTATGTATTACAGTAATTGTGCTACATTCATTATTTGCTAACTCAGTTATTTAACTTGGAACGCCAGCAGTATGCCACCTGCAGCGATTTTATTCACATTGTGTGCATCCTTAGCGAAGTGCTTTATAATGATTGAATGACACTTTTTTTCTCTTTGGTGTAGTGAAGCATAACTAGGGCAGGTACTTCATAAATAAGTTAATGGCCACTATTTGAGCTATGTCCCGTTTCTGTGTCTTGTGTTGGTTTCATTTTTTTTTGTTTTGTTGAGAATTTCGGGTAGCAGCTTGTACTGTCTTCGAGACAAAATAGTGTAGTGTGCTCAAGTGAGAACAAGCTTTTTTAAGTATAAATTTTATTGTGAAGTGTCAGTGGTCCATGTCCTTCTCTTGGGGTTGCTCAAGCTCAGCAGCAGTAAAAAAATGTAAATCTTGCTATCGTTGAAGTACTCGCATATTCCCACATGCCCTTGTTTGTTTGTTGCGGTATGTTCGAATTTAAAGTGGTTTGTTGGGCTTGTTGGTGCATTATTCTGGTGCACTACAGCGCAGAAAACGCACAACGGATAAAACACGCACAACGGATAGAACACGCACAACGAATAGAACACATGATGACGACAAGCACTGAACTTTCAACAATCTTTATCGGAAAATTGCTCATATATTATTCTGTACAACAAAGACATCATCCACTGCACATGCATAGTTAGGCCATCTCTTTATCGGTGAGCTTATATGATAGACTAAGGGAGCATGCGAACAATGTGAAAAACACGTGTGACGAAGAAGATTTTGAAGGTTTCCTCGCTAGCCATTGTATAACCTGCCAGGATTGCTCTCCTGACTTCAATAACACTTCCGTCATTAAGAAGAGCAAAACGTGAATCATCCATGAAATCATAGCATCTGAACACATTTCCTATTTAGGGAAGGGTTGTGTAAGCTTGCCATCTCTACAGTTAACCAATAAAGAGATGCACCTATGCATGTGCAGTGCATGACGTCTGTGTAGGGCTGTATAAGTATACATGCAATTTTTCAACGAAGGTTGTTGAAAGTTTAGCGCTCGTCGTCGTTTCTCTTCCGTCCGATGTGTGTTCGAGTTTCACCCACAAAAACTGTTAGCACCGCTTGGTGCAGGCTACATCACAATGTTTTGGAAGCTTCACAATTTTTTTTTGTTTCAGATTGTTCTGTTAAGGTAACGTGCAGGACGTGAGTAGCCAAGTTTATCCGGCAGCTTATGAGAACACCAGGAGTAATCCTAGAAAGCTTTATCACTGCTGCATAAAAAATACACATTCTGATGATGACCAGATTACGAGCGGCTGACGACTGTGCTCACCAATATTACAGCATGCGTTGCTTGGGCTATGTTTTTTATTTTCTGCGCACAAGTTTGTCCCATAAAAAGTTCCATATTTACCAGTCTTGCTGCAGCCTTGTTCACTGTCTTAACCATCTGACAATATTATTTTTAATTTTGCTTCAGGAAGATGAAAAGGCTGTCCATGAGTTTGTCAAGCATTTGAAGTCAATGCAAGATGTGACCGACTTTGACCAAAAGGATAGTTCACCTCAAAGCTCAGCTTCTGGTAGTACTGCTGAAGGTACCGACACTGGTCACAATTCTCGTCAAGTGCATATGCAGCTGCAAAAAGATAGCGAGGTTTGCGTTGGACTAACACAGGCTGCTTTGGTCAGTCATGGCATCGAAGGCAAGTGCCTGTCGAAGACCTCTGTCAACCACCTAAGTCTTCCATCAAGCCCCTCACAGCCCATGGAAAGTGATTTCTTGAAGAACCCACTGGAGGGACAGCTGTCCTCTCCTTATGACTTGGGAACACCAATTCTGAATGGTTGCAAGAGACAGCAGAGACAGACGCAAGGCAAGTGAATAACTTTCATTCTGTGCATGCATTTACGTAGTATAGTAGTTTATTATGCCGTGTGTTGCTCATAGTGTGAAGCACAGTGTGGGTTAATGCTCTGCTTGAACACAGAGGTACTTCAGGCTGACCCTCTGATCACTGAAGAATTGGCTAATGTTGGTACAAGCAGGAATTAAACAAGCATAAATAAGGGATAATTGGTTGAGGAGCATTTACTAGGCATGATGTCCTGAAAAGTTTTCATAAACCCGCTGTAGTAACTTCAGAACACTTCACTCGTTCTGTTTACACGTCATAATTTGAGGAGTTATTTAAAACCGAATTTGTTTAAGTAGAATTGAAAAAAAAACACAGTTGTTTGCTAGTGGCAATATGGTTGAGCCTATTTCTACTAATTTTTCTCAGTGTGTCCACATCATCATAGCTCCTCCAACCTGCATTGCCAGTTTATTTAATATAGGTACCATACCAAAGCCAGCATTCAGGAGTGTATGTTAGATTTGGTACTTATAGGTTCATAGCGTTCTTATTTTATCTTAGCTTTACTACAAGAGAGTTTGAATGAGGGCACATGAATGATTTCTCAAATTTTTTCCAACAAAATAAGCTGCGTTGTTTTCTTTTGGGTATGATGAGCCACATTACACGAATTATTTCTCAAATTTTTTCCAACAAAATAAGCTGCATTATTTTCTTTCGGGGATGACAATCCACATTATTTTTTGATGTCGCTGATTATCCATGGCAAGAGCAAGAGCTTCCTGTTGACATTTGTCGCTCAACATGACCAGGTGTGCAAAGCATCATTATGCTTTTTTCGCTATGCTTTTGTCTGCTCTCTTGACATTTTTCATTTCGTGGTCATGAGGGCACAATATAGATTTTATTTTGTGGCATGCAATTTGGAAGTTGTATGTTTTTTGGTTGGTTTATATGGCATGGCAGGTTAATGCACTATCCACGTCAAGTGAAACTCAAACAGTGGCAAGTCTTCGCGATGGTGTAGTGTGCACCATTTAGTTATCGCTATTGACAGGCTACTATTGACAGGCGTGCGCATCCTGTTCGGCAGCTCTGCGCATATATGCATACCTGTCCGTCGTGATAAGTGAACGGTGCGTACTGTACGATCATGAAGGCTTGCCGCTGTTTGGGTTTCATTTGACACACATACTACCTTCTTGGAATGGACCTCAGCATTTTCATATCTGCCTTTTTTCTTTTTGATGCACCACCTTAGAAAACAAAAGCAACCCCGCCGCGGTGGTTTACTGGTTATGGCGCTCGACTGCGACACCGAAGGTCGCAGCGTCAAATCCTGGCTGTGGTGGCTGCATTTTCGATGGAGGCGAGAATGTTTGAGACCCATGTGCTTAGATTTAGGTGCATGTTTAAGAACCCCAGGTGGTTGAAATTTCTGGAACCTTCCACTATGGTGTCCCTCATAATCATACGGTGGTTTTGGGACGCCAAAACCCCAGACATTACTATTAGAAAACAAAAGCACAGTGATGTAGTAAGGCAAAATGGGAAATGGACTGGGGGTAGCTATATTGTTTGTTAAAGTCATGAGAGGTTCACAAAGCATGCCTATTGGTCGAAAGTGGGTCAGTCTCACTTTGATTTAAACAAGTGAAGAACTCCACTTGTATTTGATTAGAAACTGATTTTTCGAAAGAGCATTTCAATTGGCAGTAGACCAGAATTCATTAGAAGGAGTGCTATAAAATTTAAAGGAGCCTTTAAGGGGGCAGACTGGTCTTTGGGACCAAAAAGTGACAAAAAGTTTATTTTTTAAAATTGGCATATTTGGTTTCTGCAAGTATTTTTCTATCTCTCTACAAATTTTCACGCTCCAGGAAGTAGTAATTTCTTTGTAATGTAATTCTAACTGGCCAGATTCTTGGTGCTGTTAACATGCATAGCTGTGAAAAAATAGGGAACCAACTTTGCGGCTTCTTTATAATTATGCCGGCACCTGTGTCTAAAGCTCTACTATTAATTTATGAGCGCCTTTATAAGGATTGCAAAACATGCGCACCATGATTGTTGCTTTTTGAAAAAACTGTGTGTTTTCAGTTTTTTCCATTTTTCTCAAAAAAGTGAATTTGTGACTATTCAGTTTTGAGGCCTCAATATCCCAGCAGCTAGGGCAGGTACAACAATAATTCTCTTTGCAGTGGAAACCTGTATGTGTGTAGAATGCAAGTATGGGAGGAGAATTTAGAGCTCATGCGTTTTTGATTATTTACTAATCATAATTGTAACACAATTCCAACAGCTTTTGAAAATGGATAGTTCATTTTACTGTAAAATAACCAATAAAGGCCTAACACAAAAAAAAAAAAAAAAAACTCTTCCATACTTTCAGTCTATAGTCAATAGTCTATGTTGGCATAGCCAAAATATCACTTTTAAATAAGCACTTTTTTTCTCCATTGCAGCCTTAAACAATAGGGGGTGAACTTAAGTTATCTTAGGAACAAGGTGAGTTGCAGGAAAAATAATTAAATATTTGAAATTAGCAGAAAAAACTGCATAACCCTCTGCAGTTTGATCAAGATCACTGAAGAAATAAACAAAAAATGTCCAAGACCAGTCTGCCCCCTTAACTTACTATCAAATTTAGCCCAGTTGTAGTTTCCAGATGTGTGGCTCATAAAAAAAAAGCTTGTTTGCAGACATTGCTGCTACTGAGTAATCTACACGCCACCCTTCTTTGTTTGCAATGCTTAAACCTGGTGAGGGCCTGTACAAGGAGGTGCAAAGAACTCTCATTCTCTTGATAACACAGTGCCAGCAATACTTTAAATAAATTGAGGTTATTACATGCTACATGTGCATATGAGTTGTAGTTTTACTTGTTTGATCATTGAACTAAAGAAATGCTAGTCTGCAAAAAAACTTAGGTATAAGGCTTGTATTACATTCTTGAGCAAGACAGTGCACTTTTGCTCTGAGATTACTTGTCAGTGCAGTAGTTCAAATTAAAGGGGCCTTGCAAAACAACCTTGATGTTTTCTGCTGTACCTTTCATCATATATTTGTTATAGCATCACTGTGTGCCATCCTGTTAATAAATAATGGATTTATTATTGACGACTTCTTTTTTGTAAACAGTTAATACTAGTAGCTTGTTTACCAGTTGAAAGGTGAAAAAAAGAAACACAAAAAAAGCATGACAAGGTTATGCTTGGCCAAAGCTTACCAGCCGCTACATGTGCTGTCTTTTGTCGGAACTGATTACATTGGTAATGGTGATGGGAGAGACTTGGCAAACGGGACTCAAATGTACAAGTCAGGGACAATCATTAGAAATCACATCTAATCACCAGGCACAGGTAATCAAATTTTTTAGTACTGAGTATATGGGAAGCAATTATCTTTATTTGCATCTGCCTCGACTTTTCACTCAGGGCCAATGCTGCTTTTTTGCTCACATGCAAGGATATTCGGGTCGATGTCATTTACATCAAAATTCTTACAAAACGAGCTGCCTTAAAAATTTACCTGCTTGCAGTGGCACAGGCAGAAATTTGTTTATGAGCTATGGGAAAGGGGGAGGGGGCACGTCTCTCATCCGACAGGTGGTCTAGGCAGGTAAGTGTAGTCAAGTGATATTTCGTGCTCTGTATCATATGGTAGACAAAAATTTTAGGGGTGGCATGTGCCCGGAGACATTTTGTGAAGATGGAGCTGTGAACATGTCCAATTTGGTTGTGTTTGATGCATGGAGATCACTTGTGAAGCACAAAGTTGAAATACCTTTTCAAACAGAGTGATGGGGAGGCCGCTGGTAGCTGTTTCTTGGCGTTATCGAGCAGATTTTAAGAGAGAGCTGCCATAGTCAATGAAGATTTACCTGTAGTCTAATTAAGCTTAATGAGGCAGGAGAAGCCCTGTCCAGATGAGCAAAGTGCAGCAGCCAACTGCCTTCTTGAGTGAGGAAATAGTCGTATTCGCATACTTACTGATCATGTGCTCGTTGGTGCTATCCTGTGTTCAACAGTCTTTGAGCTGGAAATTCGTTGCCGCCTAAAGTTGCATCGGGCTATAGTCTCCAGGCAGGATTATGGCATTATTGCGCTCTGTCCTAACGTTTCCTTGTGCACATACTGATGTACTTGGCTGGACAGATTGAAGCAGTATGAAATCTTCCTTTAGAATATCTATAAGAATTATGAATTTTGAAAAAAAAAAAAAAGTTTTCCTTTGCTTGGCCACGCCCACCCAACAGAAATGTAATACACTGCCGTGAGCAAAGCTCCGCAGCTGGCGGTGGTCTTCTTTTTCAAAACAAAGGTATTTCGGGTGGAGGGGAAGGGGTACCCAGTTCTTGTAATATCTTTGCTTATACTAGTACATCTTTTAAAAAGGTTTCTTCCAAGGCTCTACTTCTGCGTGGCACTTCACTTATTCCAAAGTGTTTTGGGACTGAGAAGAGGTGGCTTAGGGCCTTTAAAATAGAAAATTTAGATTATAGTATAACCTTAAGAAGTTATGTAATTTTGGCACTATATTTTTCAAAAAATTTCTGGAAAATCCCAGGATTGAAATTCTGAACAATAAAGTTTGCAACTGAGCATTTAAAGAAGATGTTACTAGAACTGTACTTACTCGCATAATGAATGCACTTTTTTGCTCGATAAATCAGAGCCAAGTTAGGGGTGCGTTTATTATGCGGGGCAAATTTTATGAAAACTTTTTCAGGGTGAGCGAAAAATGTGGTAGTGCAAAAAAAAAAAAAAAGGTCGCTTAGCCTTTCGCAATCGACATATGCCTACACTGTTTGGAAACAGCTTCATTGTTGCACTTCGCTCATCTTCATTGGTTGATGGTGCTCTCTTATTCAAGCTGTCCCTGCGTCACCCGCGCATGCCGTAAAAGTGTTTTGCGGCTATGTGTTCTCGCAATCATTTAACCGCAATAGTGGTATCTGCTGTGACCTCGAGGGGCGCCCAGAAGCGTACGCTAAGACGCACTTTTCCAACTTCGCG